GGTCGATAATTTTCGAAACCAAAAAAAAATTATAGTAGGATGAAACCTATTGGAAAAGAAAGAGAATATAACAGAAATGAAAGGAACAATAATTTACGGGCGATCTGAGGTCGGGAGGGGGTAGGGGGTGAGTTTTTAAGGGTAAAAACGGTTTTCATTGATTTCCAGAAAAACTGCAAGTCTTTTATCTTTTACAAAAAAAAAAAATTTTTCACGAAATTTGGTGAAAACTTACCTATTTATGTCCCAAACATGCTGTAATTTTTTTTATTTGAAATATTTATTTTTTCACCTTATTTTTACTTAATATCGAAAAAGCACCCTAATTTTCAATTGAAAATTCTCACGTCAAAATATCTGCTTTTTTAAAAACGTCGGTGGGCTTTTTCTTCGTTGAAATCTCTACTTTCTGATGGTGTAAAAAAAATATACATTACTATGGTAAGTTTTCTCAGGAAATGCAAAGAAACGAAAGAAGATTCTACAACTTTCTCAAAATATTGTAGATGTCTTCTTAAATTTTATTAACTTATTTGGTTGTTAATTATAATAGTATATTTCGACTTGTAATTTTTTTGTTTATCAATGTAACATGGAATCTTATGTTTTTCGAGTAATTAAAGTGTAAATTTTAATAAATAGCTCAAAATTGTACATTATGTTTAGAAAAAAATTTTCGGATTCTAGTTCGTTTTTTTGCATTTCCTGAGAAAACTTACCATAGTAATGTATATATTTTTTTACACCATCAGAAAATAGAGATTTCAACGAAGAAAAAGCCCACCGACGTTTTAAAAAAAGCAGATATTTTGACGTGAGAATTTTCGATTGAAAATTAGGGTGCTTTTTCGATATTAAGTAAAAATAAGGTAAAAAAATAAATATTTCAAATCAAGTAAATTACAGCGTGTTTGGAACATAAATAGGTAAGTTTTCACCAAATTTCGTGAAAAAAAAATTTGTTTGTAAAAGATAAAAATAAAAAACCAAAAACTTGGTTATTTGAATTTTTCACATAAATTTTGAGGTTATGTGAAAAAAGTGTAAATACAAAAGTTGTAGATCTTTTTATTACCTACAACTTTGCCATTTAACTTTTTTCCATAAAACTTGTAGTTTTTCCGGAAATCATGATAAACCGTTTTTTACCCTTAAAAACTCATCCCCTTCCCCTTCCCGACCTCAGATCGCCCGTAAATTATTGTTCTTTTCATTTCTGTTCTCTTCCTTTTCCAATGGGTTTCATCCGACTATAATTATTTTTCACTTTTTACAATTTTTGAAGGCTTAAGCAATGGTCTATATAAATAGTAACATAATTTACATTAACAACTATTAGTTGGGGGGGGAGAGGGGAAGTGAAGTAAAATACCAAAAGAGAAAAGAAATAGACGGGAATTATTATAAATTCTTGTTACAAAACTAAAGTGACAAGACATTTGAAGAGCTATGCCTCGGCCAGACTCTGTATTTTTCTATGAACTTACAGACGCCTTTCTTTCAAGCAATATTCCATTAAACAACCTAGAGAACCCCAAGTTTCGTAATTCCGTAAATTGGAATCACTGGGACTATCCCTAAATGAACAATTTGATATAATGGATGATGTACAAAAAATATATATATGATACGGAAACATGAAAAAAAAACTAGATATCTACTCTTCTCAAAATGAGGTTTTCATTTTTATTAACGTACAGAATTAAAAATAAATTGGGATTAAAAATAAATTGAGTAGCTAATCGTCAAACAACAATTTCTTCGAGATAGATGGGTTCATGTCTCCCAGACTGTAAATAGTTGTAAAAATAGATGTTTCGTGTGGATTATTTACAACGTTTCGGGGAAAATAATAAACATTACATAAACCGATGTTAATTTTATTTTAGTACGTCTATTTTCGATACTTGGCCAATGAATGTAAGTATTTATATCAAATTCACCTACTTATGTAAAGCACGTTTTAGAGTTCTGAAGACGGGGTAAACGAATGAGTTTTTTTATAAAAATAATATCCCTAGAACAAGTGTGCTACATGCTCTTTTTTTTCGGGATGTCGTAACTGTTGTATTGGATTCGATATTACACCAGTCTGTTTTATTAAAATCCGTATTTCTATTGCGTTCTAGTCCAGTTTAGAATCGTAATATAGGTAAAGCACATTCACAGATGTAAGAGAGTGACTGCATACAATATGATGCAAATGTGTGGAATAAATTCATTATTATTTTATTAATTTATTCAATACATTTGCACCATACTGTACACTTACTGTACAGGGTTAGTCACCATAATCTGACAACTTATTCTAAGTTTATTATTGAAATTACAAAAAAAATTTAAAACGAAAGTTTTAGCTATTTTATGAATTGTTATTATACTGTATTATAAAAAATAATTGAATAATGGAAATCACTAAATTAAAGAAAATATCTTTTTTTTTTAATGGAACACCCTATATATTAGTGGACACTTGGCTTCGATAAATTTTTCTCTTTTCAAAAATATGTATATGTTACTGTTTGATTCAGGACTTTTCGACATATTTCAGTTTAAAACTAGTTTTGAAAAAACAGGAGGGAAATTTATGTTAAAATAGTTTGTTATAGGGAATATATAAATTAATGATAATAAATAAACTTCTGTCAGTCATTTGTTTGTTCCGCGTGCCTCGTCCATAGCCACTGCGATCCGTCAGACCAAAATTTCCCACCTGTTTTTTTTTTCAAAAATAGTTTTAAACTGAAATATGTCGAAAAGTCCCGAATCAAACATATTATATATTTTTGAAAAGAAAAACGTTTAACGAAACTAAGTATGTACTAATATGTTCCATTAAAAAAAAAAAATCTTTAATTTAGTGATTTATTCATTATTCAATTGTTTTTTTCTTATACTGTATTATAAAAATTCATAAAAAAAAGCTACAACTTTTGTATTAAAAACTTTTTTGTAATTTCAATAATAAATTTACAATAAGTTGTCAGATTATAGTGACTAACCCTGTATCTATTAATGAATGTGCTTTGGTAATTCTATAATCAAATGACAAATCTGTAAGTTTAAATTTAGTAAACTTGAGGTTAATTACTATTATGACAGTTTTATTTACTATAAAACTGTCATGGTTCTTATTTGGGCCACTTTATAGTTTGGCTCATAGTTATAGGTATGCTTACCTTCTAGTATAAAAACCGGAAAATTGGCTACCTTGAAACATGCCATAATTACGGAAAATAACGCCACATAATGAAAAGAAGACGGGTATATTTATTTCCGTAATTAGGGTAATCTTCGTCGATACGATTTACGCTGGCTATCCATTAAATTGTTTGTAAAGGTAGATAATTTCCAGCGATAATGCAATTAAACACATGATGGCGAAAGGAGGATGTCCACCATTAAGGATGTTGGCGGTTAAACGCTTTAATAGGTTGTTCCTGAAATAATACAATGACAATTGCCTCTTTGTGATACCCAAAAGCCATCCAATATAATGAAAACGCGATCCGCAGTCGTTTTATTTTTTATTGGCCTCTCCTAGTCAGTTTGCATGTGAAAAATTCTACAATTGTAAACATTGTCCTATATTGGGAAAGTATTTAACAATGTTTTGAACCCGTTTTTATGAAATCTGCTAAACATTTGCTCCTTTATTGTTCCATTATAAATAGGATCATATTCGATGCAAAGTAATAAATCATTGCCTGACAAGGGAACCAATGCAGTACGCTTTTAAGGGTTTTAGAAATTGAATAATTTCTTTATAGATTATGAAGGGACGAAGGGATCAGTTCACGTCTGGCACCCTTGTTCCTACAAAAATTCCTTTATTCTCATAAACAATTTATTTTAAATGTAATTTATTATAAATCCAATTTGTTTTTTAAATTCCACATATGTACTGCATTTTACCTCTGTAAGCGCCACTGTTGTTTACTTGTTTTTTGGAAGCGCTCTCTAATTGACGAACAAGCTCCCCAGGTTAGTATTTGACGTATAACCGACCACTTTGTACACTCGATGCACCTGGGCGACTACAACTACTACCAGAACACAGTGCGTATGCAGCGGTTTTTCAGATTTTACATTCAACTTCATTTTAAATTTGAATAGTTCATCTTACGCCTCCTATTATATTGAGAGACACATAATCGATGGAATTAGTCCAAAGTAGTGAAATTTGATTACGAATAATAGACATTATGTGCTGTATTCCGTTTAGCTTGAGCTACTGAAGCTATCACACATTTTTTCAATTCTCGAAAAAATTTAAAAATCATTTTCACTGGGAATCTAATTTCTATGGCATATTATTCGTCGTCAATTCCTCAAATGTGACAGGACGGACCTTGTATGTAAGGGTAGGTGAGATATAACCTACAAATTATGTCGTATCTTAATTGTCAATGCCTACTTTAGTTGTTTTCCACAATATGTTTAGTTAAAGACGTCGTATCTCTTAAGATAACCTGGATCCACATGTCACTGTTCAAAAATCCGACTAGTAAACAAATATAATACAGATTGTTGATTTTTCGAGACAAAGTTATTCTTGATAAAAAGTTTTGCTTATTTTGAAAAGCATGGGCAGTAATGAAATATGTAATACCATAAAACATACAGGGCGTCCAAAAAATTTCAAAATGTGCAGAGAAAAATAATCACATTTTGCAAATAAGAAGACGCGATTTTGAGCTATTGTTCTTAAAGCAGACAGAAATTGTAAAAAATAAGTAAATTTTTATTTTAAATTTAATATAATATAAAATTAGCTTGGTAGAACGATTTCCGGGTTGGTTGCCAAGTCGTCGGTTTAGGTTTCTTGACGTTTCGATAGACACGCTCTCATCTTCAGAAGTAACTCTGAAGGTTACCGAGTTTTTAAAAGAGCCATATCTCTTTTTCTCGAAAAATCAACAATAAAAAAGGGGACACACTGTATTTATGTTGATATTTGACATTGACATTCTTTTGTAATCTTTATTTTTGATTTGCAGGTGAAGCCCATTGTTCATGAGTCAGAAACGAAACAAATCGTAGCCTTGGTACTAAGGTGAGTACTTGCAAACGAAGACTATGTCATCACCGTAATTTTTTTTGCAGTTAACACTGTCCTTTTACATTACTGTAATAAAAACAGCAGGTGTACGCAGCTGGAAGCTGTTTATTGGTGATTCCTTGAATTCCTAACCTTTTCTACTCATAAAATCGAGTTTCCTTAACGAGGATTAACTTTATAATAGAATTATTGCGCGATTAAATGATCTATGTACTTGCATCTCACATAAAATCTAACCTGAAAAGGATTTTTTCGAAATAAATCAAGGCTTATTTAAAAATCTATATTTCAATTTATGAGTAGTACAAGTCTATATAAAACACACGTCAGTATAAGTTTTTTTTTCTCACTTCTATAACACAGAAAGTCTATTCAATTAGTTCATTTTGGTGTTCGTACATGCATAATAAAGTAATTGCGTCTATTTGTAATATGTCATACTCGTATTATACATTTATTCATAATTGTTATTTCAATATTTGTATGTATAATGGTAACTATGGTATGTATATTGAAATAAAGCGGAGAAATATTCAGGCACAAGTTCTATTCAATTGTATTTGTTTTGGAATTGTGTAGATACGATGCAAAAAATTGCAAAGACGAATAAAAACGATATTACTATTATGTCCAAGTTGGTAAAACCGCAGCATATGTAAACCAGCAGTTGGGCATCTTACGATTTCCGTTCATCTGAAATTGCTGGTTTACATATGCTACGATAAAAGCGTAGAGTTCGTGAAATTTCAACTAAAGGACCATACGCAAAATGGTGACATTATGCAACTCGAAAACATTTAGAAAATAATATAGATCTGATTTTTGTGGAGTTACTTTATAACAAAATCTTTCCTCAGTGCAATTTCTATTTTAAATTAATCTATGCTTTAAAGCCACATCACAACTGACTACCCTATTTTTGTCGTTTTTTTTACAGAAAATGTACACCAGTTTTTACAAGATTTCATTTTGTTAGATTTTTGTTTAAGGATATCGTTGAAAAACTCTCCTTTACTGAATTGACGGTAGATGTTTCGGGAACATTTAAAAATACATCCAATAGTGTTATGTCTGGAAGGTTTGTAGATCCCTTTAGAGTATGTGGATTATTATTGCTCATCATTAAACTGAAATTGAAAGATCATTTGCTTTTCCTTAAACGAAAATCTCTCGCGACTCCCGAAGCCAATGGCAATAATTATATCACACAAATTGGGGCACTTTCCACCCCTCACCCCCTTTCAAATGCACCCTGCGTATAAATTTACATCATTATGTACAAAATCCATCCCCATCGGAATGTTCTCGTCATTACACAACAACAATTACAGCCCTCCGAGATATTTTCAGACGTATTCCGTGCCTCCCGTAACCTGAAGATGCTGAACCGCCGTCTCGTAGCTCGGCAGCCCCGTTTCGTCCTCCTTGTTTAGGCCACCTTCCGCGTCCTTGTTGAAGGGCACCACTACGTCGTAGGCCGGTGGGGGACCAGGACTTGGGGTGCGGTGTACTTCGCAAGAGAGGTCATCGGACACCAACCACTGAAAATAAAGAACAAGATAAAAAGCGTTGAAATTTGATCAAATAGCTTAGATGTCTTGTTATAACACACCCGCCGAACTTGTGTCAGTGTGACGTAACTACTGTCACCTAGCGGCAGCGCCACAAAGTTAAAGCGACAAGAGTACAAATACCATTGATTAAATTACAAAAATTCTACTCTTTTCTGAATATTCGCATCGATCAATTTATTCGATACGTACCAGCGGCACCCTAATGCCTGCCCTGTTTGCCTGGCGATGGGGTGCCGGTGAACAGTCTTAGTGAGGGACGTTGACAGTACTTTTAATTGTCGTTTCTGCGTGTGTGAGGAAGTTTCTCGCTTTACTTGGTCGAGTGTATGCAGTGTCCTTATGGTAGCATTGTGTTTCGTGAGCATAGAAGGGCACACCGCTTGAAGCAGGATTAAATAAGTTCTATTGGTATTAAATTATAATATTATTAGTAAAATGTTCATTCGTAACTTGATATGAGTTTGATCTGAATTAAATGTCGGTCAGCTTCACATTACGGTTAAATACGGTAAACCAAATTTGGTTCTTAATTTATACATGGTAATTTTATTTTACAAAATGTTATTTAATACGCATAAAATTAAAATCAAAGTTGAAATGCAAATATATTTAAAATTTAATTAATTAACTATATCATTATTTCATTAAAAACGCAAGATCTTTGCTGTAAACTCTTTTATTGTTGATTTTTCGAGAAAAAATTATTCTTAACAAAATGTTTTGCTTATCCTGGGAAGCCGTGAGCTGTAATCAAGTACGTAATAAAATATACAGAGTGTTCAAAAAAATTAAAAATGTAAAATGCGCTTAAAGCGAAGTTGTTAAAACTTTATTTAACAAACTTACTTAAGAATTGAAAAAATGCTTAAATGTGGGGTTTAGTCAAGAAAGAACTATTCACAACGAGACTATTCAGACAGAAATGATAAAAAATAGTTGAACTAGTTAGAATAGTTTAAATTTATTGAAAATAGTTAGGTATGATTTTCTCAAAGCCCGCCCATCGTACATTACAAAGTAAAAAAGGAATAATGCAGCAAAACTAGAACTATTCAGTAATTTTCAAGAAGGTGTAAGTTACATTTATTTACATATTACCATGGATATTTCCTTATCAGTGTGAAAGTAATCAAAATATTGATTTTCAGTAACTGCCCACTGATTAATTTTTTTTAACGATGCTATCCCTGGAATAATGAATTTATTTGTGAAATGTTATGGGATCGCTAATGTTTCGTATCGATATGCACTGTAACATTTTAATAAAAGTAACTTTTATTGTCTGTATACTGTAATGTCTATATACGAGTATATTAGGGTGGCCCAAAAATAAACCAATATTTTTTTTCGTATCTCTTGTGAAAATATGTTAGCTTATCATGTTTTAAGAACCCCCTCAATAAATGAGCTCAAAAAAAAATTGTTTAGAGATTGCTCAAGATTTTCAAAAATTTCCAAAATCGTCGAAAATTGAATTTTTTTAAAATTTTTTTTCTTGTTATTTTATCATTTTCTAGGTTGAAAAAATCTCGATTCTGAAAATTTCAAATCGATATTTTAATTTCTAAAGGTCACTCATAATTATTTTAATTTTCAAAGTAGTGTACCTATGTTTTCGAGCGACCTCTAAAAATAAACATCAACGAACTAATATTTTTTTTATTGAATTTGATGAACAAAAGAATAGAAATAAATCACGACACTTAAATTTTAAAAAATTAAAAAATTATAAATATTTGATAAAGTGCGGTAATAAATTTTGCCTCGAGAAATTTTTTAAGTGTCTCTTGATTTATTTCTATTCTTTTGTTCATCACATTCAATAAAAATAATTATTAGTTCGTTGATATTTATTTTTAGAGGTCGCTTGAAAACATTTTAGGTAAACTACTTTTAAAGTTAAAATAATTATGACTGACCTTTAGAAATTAAAAACTCCATTTGAAATTTTCAAAATCGAAATTTTTTTTAACTAGAAAATGATAAAATAACGAGAAAAAAAATTAAAAAAAATTAAATTTTCGACGATTTTGGAAATTTTTAGAAATCTTGAGCGACCTTTAAAAAAATTTTTTTTGAGCGATTTTTTAAGGGGGCTCTTAAAACATGATAAACTAAAATGTTTTCACAAGAGATACGAAAAAAAAATTCATATTTTTTGGGCCACCCTAGAGTACCTACATATAAGTACATATATACAAGGTGGGCCGTTTTAATCTATGAACCCAAATTTCTCCGTACCTAAGCGAGATCCGGAAAAATGGTTCAGAAAATCAGGACAATTGGAATCACCTATCTATGCAACTAGCCTTTGACCTTGAGATTCATTTTCAAGGTGATTGTAGGTCAGTGTTTTTTTAAATACGAACCCCTATTTTTGACACCAGATTCGAAAAGCACGGGATTACGTCCGAAATGATATTTTCAAGTTTGTTTTTTGTGACCTCGAGAAAATCAATTCAAGGTCAAAAAACAACAGGACCTTCAAATAACCTTGAAAATTGACCTTAAGATCATGGTCGTTGTCAAATTTGAGTTTGATCTACCATTTAAAGGTACCTTCACAACTTGAAATCAACGCAACAAATTACTGAAACAGCTAGCAAGCAAATTTCCAACATTTGACCTTCTCAAGGTCAGAATAACAACAACAATTAAACTATCAATAATGACGTTGAATTTTTCACTTTTTAATCCGGTGTCAAAAACAAAGTTTTCCATTTAAAAAATCACTAACATTCAAATGTCCTTGAAAATGTCACATTTGATATTGATATTTCCTAAAATAATTTTTATAATTTAAATAAATATAGAATAAGTGTTGAATTATTTTTTTAAATAATTCTTGTCTGATTAAAATAAAAAAAGCTAAAAATCTACATCTATCTATACATTTATGACACATGAATATTTTTCTTTCTTGACTAAACTCCGTATTTAACCATTTCTTAAGTTTTTAAACAACTTTGTTCAAAAAATAGCGTATTCTCACCGACAATCAGCATGGATTTCGTACAGGCAAATCTACGACTAGAGCTGTACACTCATTATATGAGAAAATTTTAAACTTTTAGAAAACGGCGAGTGTCCTCTTGGGATCTTTTGCGATCTCAGCAGGACATTCGATTGTGTGAATCATGAAATTTTAATATCGAAATTAAATAACTACGATGTTCGAGGACCCGCATTAAATTGGATCATTACTTTTGTTGAAAATAGGAAGCAATTTGTCAGCATAAATTATAATAATAAGAATGTTTGTGGTAAATATAACTCTTTGGTAATGTTGGGTGTACCACAGGGATCTGTTTTGGGCCCTGTGTTATTTTTACTATATACAAATGATATCGATACTCTCTCACATGAAACGTCTTTAGTAATATCTAATAAATCAAATCGAACCTTAAAACTTGAATGCGATATTTTATTGAACAACTTCAGTAACTGGTTTGTCCAAAATTCATTACATTTTAATATTGAAAAAACTCAAGCATTTCGATTTTGCACTACTCAAAATAGAAATTGTGAAACATTAAATTTGAATATTAGTAGTTCTCTACCTACTGATTCTGTGGCAGTAAAGTTTTTAGGTCTAAATTTAGACACAAACCTTAACTGGAAATGTAAAAATATAATATCAAAATTGTCTTCAATAACTTATTTATTTCGAAATATTAAAACAGTCATAAGTACCGATCAACACCTTTGTTTATGCTATGCCCAAGTTGAATCCCGATTGAGATATGGTGTTTGTTTCTGGGGTAATTCAACTCTCTCGTCCCATGTTTTTATTGCGCAGAAACGTGTTTTAAGATGTATGTTTCGTGTTTCAAGTACTCAATCTTGTAAAAATATATTTAAACATTATAGAATTCTCACGTTGCCAGGCATTTATATTTTTAAAATGCGTGTATACATATTCAAACACAAAAGCAAATTTGTGATAAATAACGAGTATCACAATGTCAATACCCGACAAAAACACAATTTTCATGTACCATTTACACGATTAAATTTAAGTACTCGTTCTCCAAACTTCGTAGGGCCTAAAATATTTAATTGTTTACCTGTGGAACTAAAAAATGTAAATAATGAGTTTTTATTCAAAACAAAATTTAAACAATATTGTATTGTTTGTATTCCGCATTAGGGTTCTGTCATTCAATGTAATTTATGTTTGTGTTTGTGTGACTATTCCTATAAATGTTGTTCATGTGTAAAAGGAAAATAAATTAAACAAAATAAAGTTTTTAACAAAAACAAAAAATAAAAACACTGCTAAGGAAAAGTTGCATTTTTATATTATTATATTACGCCAGAGTCTGTTTTACATAGAAGAGTTGGCTACTGCGGATTGTGTGAATGTAATTGGAAGCTTCCTTTGTTGTTTTGCTTGTTTACACAGTTGTATAAAAGAAACTAATAATGTTTTGATGTAAGCCTATAAATATAAGGTTTAGCTGTACTCCAGTGTACACAAAATGCCGTTTGCCCGCCTAAGTGTACGATCCTTAATTACTACGATTGAAACGCGAGGAATTATTGCACCGAGAACATCGCGTGGCAATTCAGCAGGAGAAACTACCACGTACGAGTAAACGGGCGCCGCAAAATTGCCACGTGAAAGTAGCCTCCACTGCAGTCTGCCCAGTGCATCGAAAACTATACGAGCGGATGCATAATGCAGAACATAAACTGTGAGTTTACGATCGTACGTGAAAAGTATTTTCTTTTATGGATTGTTAAATTGATATTGCCTCAAAGTTATAACACGGTACACCGCGTAATTTTTATCCGTCGCATTTATCGACCTTTTATTGCGAATAAATACCCACCTATAAATACTAAATCAGCGGTAATGATGCTAAATGGCCGTTATTAATCATTCATTGCAAAATTTCGTCAAACGTCGAAGTAACTGCAAAAGAAACACGGCTAGAGTATAATTTCATATAAATAGAGTAAATTATTTAATACGCGCTTTCGATTTTGTAATAACACTGTACAGGGTGCTATAGAATTAGTAGATTATGTATCTTTTTCCTTGGTATCACTGAGTATTAATTTAAATTAAAAGTGACACTCCACTCCACCTTTTTTTAGTAAGTTTCATACCCCGCCGCTGGACAAGTTAGTGTGACCTCAAACAACAGCGCGCGTTAGTCCCAGCGCATGCATAATTGGAAACTGGTCTGTGCATTGTTGTCAAATATCATAATTTAAAGGAAAGGGTATTAAAAAGCAAATTTTCACATCACTCGCCATAAGGTACTGCTCACTGATGCTTTACTGGGTTGAAAAGTAGGCTCTAACCATATCAACTCTTTCTTAATTCGTATACATGCATTTTCGTGATATCATGCTGAAAACTAAAACTTAAAAATATGCTGTACAGTCACTAAACACTGAAATAAATCACTTTATAAGGTTATCCACGTACACCACACAATGACACTCCAGGAACACCCTCTCGTAAACCAGGAAAGTCGAAAACTAAAATAAAAATGTAACAAACCCGTTTACTATCTCATCATAGCATTGCAGTGCTGCCTCTTAAAGGCGATATTGCATAAAAGCAGCACAGTTGTGGCTAACCTCTATTCCCTTCGGAAGCTTTCGGAACATGATGGAATTCTGCTTAAATTTAAACCTAGACAGTGACAGCTAAACTAGGTCCAATACCAGAAGCCGTTTACATTGAGATTCACAAATTAAATACACTGCTAAAAGGAATAGTAAAATATTATTTTCAATAAATACTTGAAACTATTTTAAAAAGATATTTAAAATCTACCGGATTAGTATTTTTATTTATATTTTATTTACGTTTTATAAAATAAACAATGATATTACCGCTAAAGAATTGACCCTCACTTAAAGTTACCCTGTATTCTTAACTTGGTCGGTATACGTTTGCACAGTATGCATTATTAGCAGAACAAAACAATTTTTTATGCAGCAGAGTATACTGTTATGCTTCCGTTACCGAACAACTTCTCCCAGACTGAGTATTTGTCCCAGTTTCTGCACCGGACAAGGTACATACAGACGGTTCCAATAAGTTTACATCTTAAAACCTCGACCGTTTCAAGTCTCAGTCGCTTGACAGAGCAGATTAAACACAGTTAGGTTTTAATTAGCGTTGGGAATAATTAAAAACATGTGGGAAGCTTTATATCTTCCCGAATGTTGTAGTCGAATCTTGCGGAAGTCGTCTGAAAATTTAAGTTTCGCAGCGTTACGAATTAAAGAGCTCTGAGTTTTATCTGAAAGAAGTTGGGAACTTTTATGACTTCTACTTGGGAAGTTCTTTATCGAGAAACGAATCTCAGAGAAATGCCGGTAAAGTTTCACTGATACATCGCGTGTAAATAACAAGTAACGGAATTTTAGTATCTAAATAGATATTTTGTCGCATTCAGATGAGAACAGACAAATTTAATATAGCTTTAAAAGACAGTTAAATCATTCGTAGCAGGGCACAGACTGATTTCAAAATCTTTTTGAAGCTATTAAATTGGTAATAATGAAATACTTTTGTACTCACATTTTGGGCAGCTTCCACAGTGTAAATTTCCATGGAGAGTCCTGGGTCCCTCCAGTATGTAGGCAGATTAGACTGGGATTTCCTGTTGGTCTTGTGACAACAGTAGCACAGGATAAAAACTACGAGAATTATACCGCTAAGCATAGCCCTGGAAAGAAACAGTTTTAGTCTTCTGACGAAAATTTAGGTCAAAAATCAAGAGACTAAGGTGAAGGGACTAAATTTAGTTCCTAAATATGAAGAGATGCACTTTAGCCACACATTAATCTTTGAAAATATAAACTTAAGTGAAATTTTAATAAACGGAGTTAAAAAATTGCACTATAGTTTCGCTGCGATACTTCGTCTTTGGAAGTCATTTAATCAGAGATTAAAGTAAACGTGAAGAAGCTGCTCTTTAGTTTCTTTATGACACTTTAACTTTGGAAAATTAAGAATACAGCAAAATTTTTAGAAGATATAATGCAAACATATTTAAAAAATCATCAATCAATTTTGAAGATCGACTTTAATCAATTTATAGTAGTTTGTCTTTTTTAGACATATATCAAAAGACTAGAAATTAGTAGATGCACTTTAGTCTTTACACATAAGAACTATAGTCTAATTTTTAGTTCACGAAATCCACACTTTATATTTATCTATCATAACACAGACAAAATAGCTATCGTCCCAGACCGCTCCGGTACTGAAATAGGCCAACAGTTTTAAATTTCCGAATTGCCGATAGAGTACACCACCAGCAGAATTTTAGGAGGAATCAAAGCAGCGGCCTGCATTCCTACGCGTATCCTACCAACACTTTGGCAATGTTGCCAGGCGTACTTACGGATGTATTTTACACTTTTTTATCAATATCTGTTTTTTACGTTACTGTATTTACCTAAATGTATGATGTAAGTATTGATAAAAATGTTTTAAAGAATCAACGAATATCTATGTAGTTTCATATGATATACTGCAACGGTGTCACAGTTAAGTGCAGTAAATATTGCAGAAAATATATTTCCAAATAAACAAAATTCGTAATGATATTTTAAATAACTTTTAATATATATTTTTTTTAATATTTGATGATGGTGGGTTATTAGTACGTCGCGGAATGTAGGTACAGGTTTTGTATTTTTGTATTTTGACATCCACTTATAGGTTTAATAATTAAAGAAAGAAAAAAACTTTAAATACAAATGTACGACTTTTCCTTTATTTCTTTTGACACCAAAATTTGCTGGCATAAAATACAGGGTGTTGCATCACCAGAGGGACATGACTTAATGGGAGATAGAGGACATCCAGCGTAGCTAGGATCGCCTATAGAAATAGCTCCTTGGCCATTCTTCATTGAGATACAGGGTGATTTATGATTTTTGGTCAAAACTGCTTTATGTCATAACTTTGGTAGGGAATGGAATAATGGGTTCATATTTGGTAGAGTTAATGCACTCACAATACTTCATGTATGCATGTATGACAGCAAAAAATCCAGGTCCGGACTGCAAAAATTGTTAATTTTTTGTGCTAGAAGTCTAGAAACAACACTCTGTATGTATTTTTTTGAAATTTCGATACGATATTCGGAAAGAGCATAAAAAAGTGATCTTAAAGACGTGTTTCTTTTTTTTTGTTACACTTTGGTGGTTATCTAAACAACCGCCAAACCGTGTGACATCATAGAATAAAAAAGTGTTTATAACTTGGAAATGGTGCCTTGAATCGAAAAAATAATTAAAAAAACTCCCCACATCCCAGGTTGTGATTATCCGTTCTGCCTTGAATGGAAAAGGTCCAAAGTCCGTCTGTCGGAAAACAAAAAAGTAGTTATTAGCTTGTTGCAACAGCAGTAGTGAACGCATTATCTTATATCTCATTGATTGATGATTTATTGTTTTTTTTTTAATAAATTTCGTATCAACCACCCCTTGAGGTTCCAACAATTTTATTAAATAAAAAATTAAGGTACTATTCTTAAGGAAATTTTACATTTTTAATTTTTTTTAAATAAATACCTAATTAATTAGGTAAATTCATAGTTTTAATTCTAACTTGATTTATTTTATTTAGCATTTAACACAAATGTCATTTCCAAACGAAAGATAAGTTCCATATCTCTCTCTTAATTTAATTACATAATTAAATGCATTCAATTTATTTGGCAGTTGTTATTTGGCAACAAAGCCACCGCTAGAACTGCCTCCTATTGCCGAGTAGAAGAGTTACCACGCTAAATTTTTTTCCTGGATGCCGGCTAACAAGACCCTGCATCCTTTTTAGGTTGCCAATTTCCAGCATGTAAAATGCGGTCTGAGGCGATAAGCTATATTGTCTGTGAAATAATTCTTCTCATTTATAAACAGTATCAATATAGTTATGAAATATGCACTTTAATTCGTTTTATATTTAGGAGTCACATATCGACAGAATAAAATGAAGTGATCCTTAGGGACTATGATATTGTTTTAGTTCATATATACATTTTAGCTTTTGAACAGAAAGAAGTCATACATCGGAAGAACAAAGCGACTAAAGTGATATTTAGTCTGTAAGAGGAAGATCGTTTTAGTTTCTTTATACACTTTAGTCTGAAAATAATAATAATTTCTGATTGGTGGCAATGACTTTTAAGAAAGAAGCACATAAATCTCATTTATCAACAACATTAACAATTTTTAGGAAAGAAGAATTTTAGTTTAGCTTTATGACACTTTCCCTTTGGTAGTCATATATCATAAGACTAAAGTGAAAAGACTAAAAAACTAAGTTTAGTCCCTGGAAATTATGAGGTGTACTTAGTTCCTATATGACACTTTAATTGTTGAAAATAAAAACGAATGTATAATATTTATTTCACAGTATGCTCGCTGTGTATTCATGTGCTATATTGTTCAACAAATTCTCATTTATCAACAGTATCAATCATTTTTAGGAAAGATACAGTTTCCTTTACCTATGGAGTTTAAAAACATTTTAGTTTCTTTACACACAGTCTTTGGAAACAAAGGATAGAATTTTTAGTCTGCAATGCTATTTCTGCATCACAACATTAAACAAATCGTCATTTGTGAACAATATCAATGATTTTAAGGAAGTGCACTTTAGCCACTTGGTACATTTCGCGTCAATAAAATTATTTTTTTCTGAGACAGGACCATCCGAGCGCGAATAATTCGGGAAACGAACATTTTTTACGGCCTATTCCCATCTACACATCGTGCCTAATGATCCGCCCGGTCTCAGTCTATAATTTGCTAATGATTCGCATATTCCGGGGCAAATATTCCGCGCAAAGGAATTTAATTCGCCAGACGATGGTTAGTTGAAGCGTTAGTAATTGCCGGGGGTTGAAACATGTATTCCGAGTTGAAAGTTTTGTTGGTAACAAATCATTAGAGACGCGGCGTTGTTCGGCAACTAGGAAATATTATATGTTCGGAGTTGGCGTTGCCAGGTAGGTATGTAATTGTTTAACCGAGATCTATTAATAGCTGTTGATTTTGCGGTTGTTCCTGAGGTGGTTTCGGTTGAGCACACACAGATTCTAAGTAGATCTTAGCGAACGTGATAAAAGTATTAAAACGTAATCTCGAAACTATGAAAAAGAGGACTAGTATGTTAACGATTTAATTATGTTTCCTACGTGTCAAAAACATACTAACTGGAACAATTTTTCGAACAATATCCATAGACGTCTCAGTTTAAAAGGTAACAATATACAGGGTGGTCCGAAAATAATATGTGTTTACCTTATAAACATTGGTCTGGAACAGCCCCGTTTTAGAGATACAGGGTGTTGAAGTTGTTAAAAAAAATAGATTTTTTGTTTATATCTCCGGAATCTATTAACCGATCTCAATAAAATTTGGTACAGACAATCTATAATAGTAGGTCTTACATTCCCTAAAATATGAGCTTTAAAGATTCAACCAGTGGTGCACAACTGGACAGGGATCACCCATTTTTTACAAAAAAAACCTACGCCACTACATTTTTTACAAGTCATTGTAACTGATTTATATTCTAATGTACAAAATACGTAAAAAAGGTAACTTGAATTTTTTCCCTAAGATTCGCCGTTCTCAAGTTATTCACACCAATACAATCCCCTTGTGGCAGACACTTCTAACCATAATATTACAAGAATATTTATGTTTATGTTTAAAAGTGAGTGCAATTTGTAAGCACATCAACAAAATTATTTACACTTCTTTCTACACCACCTGTGAGGTAATATTCCTGGCGCGTTTTAGTTTTCCCTGGAGGCCTAATACTCTTTACAAATAAGAACAATTTAAATCGAAATAATAATAAAAATATATTTACCAAGCAACAACTAAACAAGAAACAGAATTAACGTTACGTATGTACAACAATTGTTCAAAACGAGAACCACCCACATCGATACATTTCTCACATCTATTAATGGAATTAATTGAAGCTAATATCATGTGGCGATTTTCTTCTAATTCATTATACCCGTCTTCTATTCGTTGCAGTAGTTGTGGTCTTGTATCTGTTAGAGTAGAATAAACTTTACTTTTAGATAACCCCAAACATAGAAGTCCAGGGGGTTTAGATATGGCAATTTGGCTGGCCAAGACACTGGACCCTCTGCACCATTATGGTTGACACTGGCGTTTGGTCTTCTACCTATCCATCGCCCCATATAATTTTCATTAAGTCCTTCTTTATTATTCTCCCAGAATGCGCAGGGCACCATCCATTGTATCCAGTTATTTTGTCGTATATTTAATGGAACATCCTCTAATAATTCAAATAGATGGTTTTCTAGAAAGATTAGAAATTACTGGGAATTTAGACGCGGTGGCAAGAAGAAAGGTCCACAAACTTTATTGCGAATTATTCCGAGCCAGACTTTCACAGAAAATTCGTAAAGATCACAGTTAAGTAGTTAGTTTGGTAGTAAACAGTAACATAAACATTTTTGAATAATAAAATGTTATTACTATTATTATTTTTATTTACAAATCAAAAAGTACCAAAAAAATACCCATGAAACATACAATTTTTATTGTAAATGTAGTTTCACCATTGAAGATAATATTGCATTATGGGCTAATACAGACACAGCGGACACCGCGCAGATGCAAACCGCAATTTTTTAATTGAAAATTTGAGTTTTCAATCGCAAATAACTCAAAAAGTATGGGTTTAAAAAAATTGTATGAAACATTTTTTGCTTGAAATTAGTTGTTCTATCGATTCCCGGGATTATTTTGACAAATTTTATTTTCAACCCCTGCAAAGGGGTAGAAACCACCCCCAGGGTAAAAATATATATCAGCATAGTGTGTATTTTGTTTCTTGAGCTATTTCCCACCTACTGTTCAAATTTCAAGCAAATCGATGCATAAGAGCGGAAATCAGAGCTAAAAACATCATAAACTGAAATATTCGTAACTTTAAGGGTTCTAAATTTTTTTAGCTCAATTTAAACAATGATTTCTTATTCCTCATCTCAAAAACTATAGAAACATGTTTTGTATCATTTGAAACAAAATTTCACGTTAGTGAAAACGAATTAAAAATGTCGTGCTTAGTAATAAATCATTGCCTGTCAAGGGATCCAGTGCAATACGCTTTTAAGGGGTTTAGAAATTGTATAATTTCTCTATACATTATGAAAGGACGAAGCGACTTGTTCCTACAAAAATTCCTTTATTCTCATAAACTATTTATTTTAAATGTAATTTATTATAAATCCAATTTGTTTTTTAAATTTCACATATGTACTACATTTTACCTCTGTTTGCGCCACTGTTTTTTTCCTTGTTTTTTAGAGGCGGTCTCTGATTGACGACTAAGCTCGTCAGGTTAGTTTTCGACGTATAACCGACCACTTCGTACTCTCGATGCACCTGGACGACTACAGCTACTACCAGAACACAGAGTGTATGCAGCGGTATTTCAGATTTTATATTCAGTTTCATTTTAAATTTGAAATGGTTCATCTTACGCCTCCTTAAAATGATGACACGATTGATAAAAGACAACAATTTTTTGCTCTACTTTGTATCGAATACGATCCTACTATAAGTTCTTAGATATTTTATAATAATTATCTCACACGAATATTATCACTATCGTATTTTCCCTTCACTGTCACACTTCACTACCACATATACGCTTCACTATCACACTTTTACTTTAGTGTCATTACAGAGAAAAATTTTCACATATATCATTGTTTTTAATTGTCATTGTTGCTATCGCTATCACCGGAATCATTTTCCCCTAAATGAATAATGAGTGGTTCTATGGAAACTTCCACTGTTGTATCAAGATAGAGATAAGTTACGGTAGAGATAAGTTTAGTTAAAACTGCTAACTGTATCAAGTGTCAAAATGTACTCACATTTGATTCCCTGCTCCATACTTCGCCCTAGTAAAAACCGTCTTGTTTTTGGGGCAAGCCATAACTCAAACATCACTTAAAAGATTTCGTACCACCGCAAACTGCATTCTACAGTTACAAAGCGGACAAACCACTGCGGCGAAATTTTCACACTTGTAACAGTTGCAATGCCATTTTAGTTGGGTCATGGGTACAACTGACAAGACAATGTACCTTTTGCGATTGATTTTGTGCGGATAATCGAGATTCTGTGCAGGAATTTTATGAATCCGAGGAGCATTTGTTGAATACAAACTGCTTATAAGTTTATGAAAAGCATTCCTTAAATACTGTCATGATTTCAGGAGATTTCTCGCATAAACATAGGTATGTAAGTTTTCCAGCTACAAAAAACCATTTTTGGTGTAAAAGTGTCAGGGTTTTATACCTGTTTGTTTACACAGGCATAATTTTTTTTTCATATACTTTTTAACTTTTTTCTCTAAAATGTATCCTTTGAATGCTCAAAATTAGTCGAAAACCTCTGTAACCACAACGAGACATTTTAGAGAAAAAAGTGCAGGAATAAAAAGTTTTTATTTTATTATTAACACGTCTGTATACTTTTGTTTCAAAATCCTAATTATTTTAACAAAAAATCAAGATTTCCACTGATTTTTGAGGTTAGGAAAACATCCTGAGGTGATGCAGCATTTCAGATAGCTCCATCGTCTTCAGCGGGTCAATATGCAGGAGGATTTCATACTCTGTTAAAAATCATATAAAAAAAATGTGTGCTTGTGATTATTGAAAATTCCAAACTTGTATTTGTATTAGACATTACTTTGACTCGTGAAATATGATTCTCTTCTGTAAAATCTTGCTGTGTGTGGTCACCTTAATTGTAGAAAACCTCAAATTTTATCAAATTACGTGAAAATTCCTTAATTCCATACTTCATAGTTTCACAAAACGAGGTGTGTAGGTGTTCCATATATCAACAAGAATAATATCGCTCTCCCTATTGTCAGAAAATAATTGAAGTGCATTTACTCACTAGATGGCAACACAAACAGTGCATTCAAAGACTGGTGGTTACCTTCTTGATGCATTACAGTGAAAGAACCCTTTACTCAATTATTTGTGAGAAATTAATGGTCTCCTATGAATAATTACTTATGTACCTACTTTTACTAACAAACAACTGTCTATTATAGCAATATTCATAATGGCAGACATTATTTTAGATATATCGAACTAGGATGACAAGTAAGCCGTGACGAATGGTTCAAACAAACGAAAGAAAGTGTTTCCGACCACTTTCTTTCACTTGTCTAAATTCGGCCCACTTCGACGGAACAAAAAATCACATTTCAGGTCAATTTACAGTAATTCACGCCTGCCGAGAACGGTAACTTTGCATGCCCAATTAGCATATCTAAATGGGAACGCCTTTGACTATTAAATTTTTCAGAAAGGGAGCACGCCGTCTACCGTGAACAAGGCTACGCGGCGACTTTTCATAACTCGCATTACTCTCGACTTTATACGGTCCTTCCTTTATTTCTAATGAGCGCATTTCGATGAAATATTTAGCCACGCTAATAACGAATGTAGGCGCTCGAAACGGAAACAAACGCCGTTGCGAGTGGAAAAAAATTGTCGCTTTACTTCAACTGTTTAACAAGTGCAAACATGTCTACTTCGATCGATGCTGTCGGTGTTTGTATGTTCGTGTAAGTAGTCCTTTAGTTTTGTCGTTGGAAGCTGATACAATAGATAGAAGTTGTGGGACAAAGCAGTGTTGCCAGGTGTGTCAAGTGGCACTGTCTTGTAAGGCTAGTGTTACTGTGAAATATTAATATATTTATGTCTATTCAACGGTTTTGCAGGTTAGTTTTTAGTCAAATATTGAAAGTTGCATTGTGAAATTGGATTCCTCTACCAAAGTGACCCCGACAACCCCCAAATTTGGCGCGAATGTGTTATTTTTTGAGAATTTGGTCGGCCATCTTCGATACGCCATCTTGAATTTTCCAAAATTGACCTCGGATCCGTGATTAGCGACCCCGAAAACCCCCGCATACCAATTTTGGCGCGAATCTGTTATTTAATTAAAATTCGTGATATCTGACCCGTTTTTTTTGAGGTTAGAAAAAGAACCATCAATTCTGACGCGGATTCACGTTCAGCGGGCTCTTAACCATATAAATGAACATTTCAATATAGAAAAAAAAAATTTGTATTTTTCCTAGCACTTTCCCGTGAATTTTTGCTATTTTTGACTTGCTTTTTGAGGTTAGGAAATTCCAAAAATACTACGGATAACATATGCCGCATGAAAAGTACAGACAACTTTTGTTTTGTGTGGTTAAAACAAGTCCATACCAACTCTAGGTGTCAAGTTTTGTCCTGGTTCGACCATATATCACCCCTTAAAGAACGTGTTTACTGTCCCACATCCGGCATACGAGACCTGCTGAAGTTTCAGCCATAAATTTCAAAACTCTCTGTAACGTGCGCTTTTAGCGACAGCTTATTTTGGTGCCCAAAATCCTTGTAACGTCTTAAGAGGGACTGACAGCTTGTATAGAATTCCACTATCCAATCAAGCTAATGGTAAGGACGACAAATCGATCACAATAGTACAATATTAACAGAAGCTATTGTACACTCCGTGTGATACTAATATTCTTGATATTTACTAGCAGCGGAGCGGAGTGTTCCACTTTTTTGTAAAATCTTTTCCGTGGCTTTAAATTATTGAACGGTAAAGAATCTACCTATATATAATTCACGTTCTTTCGCGAAACGGCGGCTGCAAGATCCCGGACAAGGATAATAACTTGCCTTTATTACACGAATGGGAGAGTCCTCCATATAAAAGTGATGATGATGAGTTATAGTTATTGGAAGAATTATACTTTATGAAGACGTTTCCAGTCGCGGAATGTCGCCTGAGGCCGAAGATATAAGTTTATTGAGTTTATAGCGACCGTCGAAGTTAGTCGTTAAAAGTAAAAACTACATTGAACGGATGAATATGACAAGTCCCCGGTAAACTTTATGCTTTGAAGCCGATGTTTCCTTAGTAATAAAAAAAATTCAGGTGGGCAACACAACCGCAAGATGTCTCCAGTTAAATAAAACCTAATAAGGCCCCATTCACTTTTATACCTACGATTTCTGGTTACCGAGATGCATAGAAAAAAAGAATAAGAGAATGTTTAACACACATGCACAAGATGCACAGGATCGGTTTACATTTATGGTTAATCTTGCGTCCATAATTACAGTTACAAAATTTGTCTGTATCGTGTTAGTTGTGGAGCACTTTTCGCTTTCAGTCAATACTTACGAGCAGAAATATTGTTTTTGTTACAGTTTTCGACGTATCCGCTTAAAAAAATAGATACTCACCCTCCTAGCATAACGTTAACCCCGTGCACCGGAGCGGGGGGTGACCCTGGTGTGGGGAGCATATCCGTACCGTTCAACGACCCATCGTTGTGTATGGCGGACAGTATGGCGAGCTTTTTCATAGACATAACACACCTGGAAGGGAAAACTTCAGTCAGTCAACACGTCTAGTACACAGGAGGCTTGGAAAATTTTTCGAAATTTCCTGATGATGCTCAGATTTATAGCGAAAGAAAATCCAGCCCATCAGGTCTTGAACAAAAATTGTTTGATGTTCCATATAACGAGCGTTCAAATAAAAACGTGGTCAAGTTGGTTCTGAAAATTTGGACGTAGGGCGTAGCGTATAGCAAATGAACTTAAACGTCATCTGTCAAAGCGCTATATCGCCGCTATCAATTTGAATATTTTCGTTTTAAAAAGCGTTTAAAATGGTGTTTTCTCAAGAACAAAAAGTGTTTATCATAGAGTCCTACTTTAGAAATGGACGCAAGATTGATGGAATATGGAAGTATTCTATTGAGGAATGTTTCATAGAATTTCAAAATCAACTTCCCGGCGTTGTTGAGTACAAAATTTTTCAAAGTGCAGTTCAGCGTTGTGTTAATGTTTTTCGTGAAACGGGCAGTGTAACAAGAAAAGAAGGAAGCGGCCGACCTAAAAAGCGGACTGAAGAATTAAAAGAAAATGTCCAACAAATAATGGAAAATGCGCCAAGAACTTCTGTACGTGTTTTATCACAAATGGTGGGAGTATCAGTCGGTACCTGCCACACAATGTTAAAAAAAGCTCCTTTAATTGTTCGTTATTGTTATCACGATTATTCTTTAAAATAAAGTTATATAGTCATTAACGTTATTGAAACTGACAGCTGCTATACAGCTCGTTGAGAAATGAGGTTAAGTTGGTCGCTATAAGCTACTCCCTACGTCCAATGTGTCAGAGCCAACTTCGACCACATTTTTATTTGAACGCTCATTATGTTTATAACTGTATCTTCAAGATATATTTAATAGTATGCTCACGAACAAAGCGATATCTCAATTCTCGCTTTTAATATCACAAGTACTAAAATTACACCCTCAATTTCTTTTTAGAAATAGAGAGAGAGAGAAATAGTAAAAATTTTCTACTCGCATACAGTTTTTCGAAGAAACTGACGGTATGGTAAACTTAACATGTCGCATTTATTGTAACAAAATCTTCTCTAACACTATACAAAAAGCTTTCAAAATATCGGCAAATTCGGACAATCCTCAAATATGTCCTGTCTGTACAAAAAATTGATTAAAAATTGAGGAAATCACAAACTCCAAACTCAAACTGGAAGAATACGAGAATTGCCCAGTTAGGAAGAATACCGAATCTTTGTGTTTTAAATTCGCAGCTTCTGAAAGAAATTGACACTAAAAAAAGTTAAAATAACTAATCATTCTACAAGAGCGACTGCTGTCACAAGTTATTAAACTTACAAGGAACAGTAACAGCAAATTAATTAAGCCTTACTTACATTTATTTGTTTATTTGGTTGTAGATCATTGAAAGATGATTGAAATCATGGAAAAGACCAGTAAGTTTATGTATAACAAAATATAACAGAGATAACACTAAAATAGAAAGTAACGAAGTATCATCATTAACTCCAACCGACCTATGATCGTTTACAATAACTGTGTTTTTAATGTTACTAAAAATTATAATAAGCAGTTTTGCATTAATATTATTTTATCCACAATCACCTCATAATTGGACTTTTACCCACACATACGAACTGTCTAAAGTAATACTTTATCCACTAGTGGAATAAAGTAACTTATTTACTTATTAACATTAACATTTACAATTATAATAATAGACATTTGGTTTTTTGTTTGGAACTTCCTTTCCGTTAATAACAACCCTTGTAGCATTGTTGCCATCATTTTCGGAACGCATAACATCTGACGAAATTTGTGAAGAATTTGCACAAGTTGAGGTTATACAAAATCTGGTCAAAATCCGCTCAGAATTTGAAAATAGCGATTCCTGCTCGGTTTTTTGAGGTTAGAAAAAAAAACACACGTTCTAGCTCAATTCTGACAGTGGATTTGAATTCGGCAGAGTGTTTTACATAAAACTGTACTATTTGATGTGGAAATAAGTTTTTTTCCAAATTTTCCCAGTAAATTTTTATCAATTTTCACTATTTTTCACAAGTTTTTTGAGGTTAGAAAAAAATTGTGACGTGATGGGCCAATTCTGACCCCAGATTCGTGTTCAGGAGACCAAATTACTACGAAAAATATATGTCGCATAAAGAGTATACCCAACTTTTTTTTTTCTGTGTGGCTGTGAATTGATAATAAAACAACGTACCATAGCAACCAGTAGGTAGAACAAAACATACCACGTTTCATTGAGTACCTACAGGTAAGAAATATCAACTCGTACGAATATTTTTTTATTAAATTCCAATAATTCTGACTCCACAAATATGATTGTGATGTGATTGTGGATAAAACGTTGTTTGCATTCATGTTTTAATTGCCTTTTATCCACACTTAAGAATATTAAATGCTCGAACTACGTTCTCGCGTTTTAACATTCTTGTGTGGATAGAATGCTACTTAAAACACTTGTACAATAAATAACTATTATTTATCCCAGTTATTTTATATAACAAATTTTTATAATATTATTAAAGGCCTATATTATTAGCAGGTAATTAAGAAAAGTTACTAATTTTATTTATATAAAATAATACAACGTAAGACGTAAATGTTTTTTTACATATAACTCAAATAAAAGGATTTTGGATAAGTATAATCAATTTCTTTAGAATCTATTTTAACTCATATTCAGTATTTTGCGTAAAGTAAAGCTAAACATGTCGTTAATATTATTTAAATTGCGACTTTCTCCAACATTACCTTTATTGATCTGTAAACAGTATATTAAAAATAATACCACACATCACTAGCACCTTTAAACTCAACTCAACGTACACTGACAGAGATTTAGATACATTTACTGCATTTATGTTAATGAAATCTTGTTACGAAGAAAATAAACTATCGATTTGCCATATAACTGCGGGGAATCTTAAGTTTCGACGTAATTATTACGCAATAAAAATTCATGTAAACTCGTCAGTCATGGATCTAAGAACATCAAAAACTCGCCGTGTGGGAATACACCTATCTAAAACAAGTATACGGCCATTGTCTAGCTTTAGTAACGCTACATAATCACGTAGACAGAAAGGTCGCATGTCACATGCGGTTTTCTGGGCTTCAAGCCCATATGCACGTCACATACAGGATTACAACCTCAGCGTTTCATTGGATTAACTGTATAATTAGTTTACACCGTATTTCTGACGAATTGCCCCTCATCAGGGATTTTGCAACATATCAACGTAAAAAATCGATGTGAACAGGGTTGTATTGCCAAAATCAGGTTGAAATCTCTATTTTGCATTCACGATACTTTTTTAAACATTACATGGCAACGAAAAAAAATTCCGGACACTTTTGAAAATTTTTCTATCATTTAAGATGACATTTGTGGCATATACTAACATTACGTAAGTAATTCATTTATTTATATACAGGGTGTCCCTGAAAAGGATGGACAACGCTTGACCACAGGTTCCTTGGATGAAAATAAGACTATTTAGCCTAACTTACCTATATACAAAAGTGCACGCCTACTGAGATATAGCCTTATAAATATAGAACAGATACCCTAGTTTTTTTCAAATAATTTGAAAACTTGTTCTTAGGAACTTCGAATTTGGTATTCATATATTTTTATATAAGGGCAATGTAAATATAGAATTTGGTGATAATACATGTACAGGATGTTCTCTTTCCAGTGGCTGTGCGCCACTGGCTATCCCGTAATTTTTTTGTGTACGTCAATGACGACATAATTTATATTTTTAAAAATAAGCACTATTTTAGAAAATTTTTTTGCCTCTTACAAAATTTTGATATCGTTTATGAATTTCGAGTAATATTGGCATTTTTTACACATTAAATAATATTAAATTAGTTTAAAATAATAGTACGAGGTGCCATATAACAGAGAAACAAATTTATAACAATAATTAAAAGGTTCATTGTCAAGCTAGTTGTGATATAATTTTAGTTTACTTTGTTTTTTATTGCAATTTATACTTTTGCTGAACAACTGATATGTTATTAGTTTTAGGTTATTGTGAAGGAAATTGAAAAAATAAGTGTATTAAATTTAAAGTTTCTAAGAAAAATAGTTTTCAAATTATTTGAAAAACCTACTTTATCTATTCTATATTTAGAAGGCTATATCTCAGTAGGCGTGCACTTTTGTTTAGGCTTTATTTTCATCCAAGGAACCTGTGGTCAAGCGTGGTCCATCCTTTTCAGGGACACCCAGTATGTTTTATATAAAATAATTGGTAATTTGTTGTTTTTTTTTCCTAAACAGTAATGTGTGATTCTAATTTTATTTGAATTATATGGAAAAAATACCTATATCTTACGAGTTATTATTTTGGATAAATAAATAATTAGTAAATATTCTTTATTAATGTTTTTAACAATGTTATAAAAATATTAAAAACACAATTATTATAAACCATATACCTAATATAAATTTCTGTTTTAGTGTTATCTGTTGTCATATTTTGGTCGTGATTAAAATTACTGATTTTAGGTAGTCTTTTTCATGGGTTCAATAATGAAACGTGATACTCCACGTCCAAATATAGCAAGCTTGTTACTATATCCTATAATTCCAATAATCTTTTGCAACCCCTTCTGTGGCCAATTTAATGTCAATTCCTATATAAGAAGCTGCGGATGTAAACCATAAATAATAGCATTCTTCCCAAATGGACTGTTCTAGTATCATCCCCTTGAATTTGCTAAATAATTAAAAACAATATGTCTTAACGTAGTTTGCTCTCATTTTAATTAATTTGTTGTAAAGTCGGACACAACAAATTTGAAAACTGTCTGAATTTATGATTAACCTTTAACCATCTACCAATCTTTTGAAATCACCCTGTGTAATTTCAGACAAGGTTGGGATACATTTAAAGCGACTTGTTAGATTTTCCAGAATATCAGTTTCTTTGAAAAATTAATGAAAATAAAAAATCATTTGGGTTATCGTTATCCCAAATTTCGATAATTTTTATCGGGAAGCTCTGGCTGCTAAAAATTTTCTTCCGGAGATGGATTAACTTAATTTAATATTTTTTATAAAATATTTCTTGCCGTGGAGATCCATAACTGTTTTAAAGTATACTTTCTCTATAATTTTCGCAATTTTTCTTCTATTGAAAGCATGATCTTCCAAAAATTTCGCAAGTTGCTCGACAGCCAAAAACTCGTCTATTCTAATGTACCATATACTATTTTAGACTTTTTTTCCATTTAATAATGTTGGTCTATTTATTTTCTTATTTCCTGTGGTCTTATTCCTTCTTATTATTTTTTTTATTTGTTGTTTCTATGACACTTTCTTCCGATGTTAATTTCCCGTCATCTGTGGACACTTCTGCAATTCATTTTTTATTTCTTCAATCTGTAGTCATCCATCAATCTTTACTCAGTGACTCTCTCACATAATTCTGGATACACATTTTAGAATTGTTGGTGGTGTAATTCGTGCCAAATAACAAGGCATACTTTATCTAGCTTAATGGTTGCCAGTAGCTCCGGCAAAACATTTCTGCAGGTTTCCAAGTTTTTTTGTTTTTTTAGGAGTTTCGACATGATGGTTGTTGTTGCCATTCTGTGGTGTGAGAAGCTCAAAATGTCCTTCCTCTATGTTGCCTAGTGGTAGTGGATATAGGTATAGTTTTAACATGCTTTATTCTAATTATTGCCGTTGTAGAATCTCTTCCTCTTCATCTTCTTTTACTCTTGATCTTTGCTGCTTCGTATGCGAGCAGTTAGTTTCGATATTTCTTATCTTTAATAAAACCACGTTTTGGAGGTCCCAGCTTGTCCTAATTATTTTGATGACCATAGGCTTACTGATCTAAAAAGCAACTTCCTTCGCCAATTAAGTCGCATCTAATGAAAAAGTTGCTTTGAGAAATAAATTGGACTGTAGCATTTTGATCAACACAAGTCGACCTGTTCAACACTCTGACACCACCATTCCACGTGTTGTCACTCACCAGTGACTTCAAGAGTACCCTGGCACCCCTCGGTCAGCGGCTTTCTTCCTTGTCACCATGTTCCACGGGTGCATTAACTTTTGTTCCGCGGGGAGTACTTTTAATTCATCCCCAGCTTCTTGCCGAAGCAGTGTGGGTTCTCCTATATTCGCAGATATGCACCTGATAGAGCGATTGCAAAACCCCCACAGAGGGGTTTATTATTATTTTTTCAAAAGTGGTATTCATTAGGCGTGTAAGTGGTAATCGATTCAAGGTGTCAGTTGTCTTGCATAGCTTCCTCGATTCACCTCGATAAATAAAACATGTCTGGGGGATATTTCTAGATCGCGATGAGTTTAAAGCGAACGCGGCGCATAATTCAACTGTTCGATATAAAGTATGCATCACCTGTTATAGAGCGCCGTGCTGCTGCCCTATTGGCATGTCAACTCTTCACCTTCCTCGCCGCTTCAGGGGTCATCTCAGGCGGGCCCTCGAGCTGCGGCAAGTAGCCACTCGACGACGCTCTGGAACTGAAACACAATGCGAATTAGTGCCTACCAATCGGCCCGCCCTCGATGCTCTTAAGAGCGTTGTGTGGGCGCCGCTTAGGGACGGGCAAGAGGGGCAGTTGCCCGCTTGTCCTTCTCTAAATGTTCGGTAATAGTTAACTAAAGATACAAAAGTGAATACAGAGGTATCATGTAGTGCACACAGAAAAAAGAATAAAAAATGACTAAAAATATAATTTTTTTAATAGAACCCTTAACACTAGCTTTGAAACCTAGGAAAACAGTATTTTTTTATTAGAAAAGTTTGTCTGTAAAAATGATAAAACCACAAAAAGTACGTTTTGTTCTGAGGTCCGACAGTAAATCGTACATACCAGGTCCGTACTTTATTTTCACATAACGCAGTGAAAAATAGACATATTTGTAGAAGATGTATTTTATACATAACAATATACAAGTAAAGAAACTAAGGAATTTTTTATCGGTAATTGAAAAACAAGATTAAAGTGTAACAGTTGAACTAGATATTATCTAGGACTAGTGACAGAACAAATATAATTATGAGATGTTTGGATAGTCAAATGTGTATTTGACCTTACCCTGCATACGAGTTAGGTTAAACGTTCTTCTGCAATTTCAAGTATCTAAATTTTGTACTTATATTAGAGTCTTGTGATCATATCTGACACTAAGCAAAAAATCGTAGATCCTAAGGGTGTTTGGATTAACTTTCAGTAAGCGAAAGTCATTTTTGCAGCTTTTATACCCGTTAACCTATTAATTAAAATTCGTTTGAAAAACTGTAGTTTACACCGCCAAAAAAAAGATCAGTTCGATTATTGTGCAATTTACTCAAAAGTCTATGGAAATTTAACAATTTTTTTCGCATGACTACTCAGACTTTCAGAAATAAAATTAAAAATAAAATAAATAACCTGAAATGCAACTAAAAAACGAAAAACAAAATACACAAGAGGATTTGTTATTTTTTAATATTATTTTTTTACTTTTACTTTGATATCGAAGAACATTGCTAATTTGAGACGATTTTTAGGAAAATGTTTTGAATTTATCTGAATTAGCTTTCACTTTTTAAGTATTAAATTTAATAGAATGGGAATTCATTAGTTAATCTAGTTATACTGTCAACACTTTTGACACTATCAAATAATCACAAAAAATATAATTATAATATTTTCCTTTATAAACTTTAGGTGAAATAATCGACAAAGTACGTCCTTCCAAACACATTATTTGAGCAAGAATTGACATTTTCGTCTTCGTTGTGTTAGAAATTTGTTAGGGACTTTCAAAAATGTTTTTTTTTGTGAAAACAGAGGCCACCACCATTTACGAAAATTATAAACACTAAAAGCTAATCAACAAACTGCAATTGCAAATGTTCATATATTCATCGATTTTAGTTGAAATATATCGCACAAAAACTATACAGGGTGCCGAATAGTAATGTAACTTTGAGTCTGATATTTTTTAATTTTCGAAACTTTTTGTTTTCATCCGAAAAAGAAACCCTCATACAACCAAATTTGATATAATTGTTTAATAAATTGCTATTAGAAGCTATAATTATCTAAAATATCGTGAAATCTTCTCCAGAATATCCGCCTAATTTAGATTTCGACGTTTTACTCACCTTTTGAAGGTGCAATCTTTGTTTACTAGCACTGAATAGTTATTTTTGTTATCCCCTTCAACTCGGTCAAAGCGCCGGTACCTTTACTTTTAGGGACACAGCACCGCTAATCGCACTTTGCCTGCTCAAACTGGGCCTTTGGCGTACAACGACTACGTGTTCATCATATCGAGCGCCCGCCCCGACTGTATTTTCTTGAAATAATCGATATTCGGCCAGGTTAGGGCTAGTGCTAGGGTTTTGTACTATTTTTGACGTCATTATTGGCGCGGTCTTAGTAGTTTCGAGTGGGCTGTCGTTACTGTCGACGCCGCGAGAGCCCATTTTTCTGTGCACGTGATCTGAAGGGTTCGTCGTCACACGTGGATCTGCAATGGTAAATTTTCTGACATTTTATCGCACGTATTTGTACCTATCACTATACAGGATGTGTCTAAAAGTATGTAGTTCAAGAGTATATAACTCTTTTCTGTAAATATGATGAGTGTGGACTTATCTTAGGAACACATTGTATAAATAGTGTTCCATTCGTGTTTATTTCCTTTATAGTAGACTATAGTAGTATATAGTAGAAGTCTCAGTAAATATTGTCATATTAAACCGTGCTTTATTTTTTTCTGGTGGAAATCAGATATATTCTTAATTTTTCCAGACACTGTGATGTTAGTTAATACATTTTTTTATTTACTGTTTCTTCATTCTCGTTGGTCCATATCGACTTTATTTCTTTTTTCACAACTTGGTCAAAGGTAATGTTAGAAAATCCTGGTAGAAAATCCTGGTACGAACTTTAGGTACCAAGAAACAATTTTCAAGGATCGTTTCAAAGCTTGCACTGTGGTGGATATCGGTATCACTCTTATATAACTTTCTCAATTTCGATTCTCCATATCATTCTCGTCAACTAAATGTTTCAAATATTTCAAATCCTTTGAAAGAATTCACACATTTTGGGGTTCGGCTCAAGTTTGGTTTCTCGGTCATCGAAATGTACGTTTTCAGCCTTGAAATTTGTTTTGTCCATAGCCCTTTGTCATTATGCACTATAGTTCCAGATTTGCTCACGCATGTCAGGTCCTAGAACCTTACCCAAAAGGCTTTGAAAAGTAATAGGGGCATCATAAAAGCCAAAAGGCATCACAGTGAACTCGGATAACAACTTGTTAGGATCGATAGAAATTACTAATGGTGTACTTTCAAGTTAATGTGACTTGCCAATATCCCTGTTTCAGATCTATATTGAGGAAAAATTTCTTTCAGCCTACTTAATATAGGTAGCGAATGGAACGGTATCTAATAAGGTTGACTTCTTGGCTATCGAAAACTTTCTTGAAATTTGTTATATGTTTTTCAGTCTCCCGATACTATTTTCAAAGTCTTCAAAGATATGCAAATTCTTTTGCCATGCATGTCGGGTCCTAGGACCTTATTTAACAGGCTTTGGAAAGTAGCAGGGACATCATAAAAGCCAAAAGGCATGACAGTGAATTCGTATAACAACTTGTTAGGATCGATGGAAGTTGTTAACGGTCTACTTTCTCTCATACAAATGTGTTTAAAGCCTCGCTGAACTTTTTTATTTTATTCCCAAGAAGTGTATAGATCTATTTAGGAACAAACTGCTGGTGCCAATTTCATGTTTTCTTCTGTAATAGAGTCGTATTGAAACGGAGTTTAATTTTTAATCTGAGCCGTGCATGTATGTCTAATCTCTATTATGTCACTTAGTACTTAGTTATTGATTCAATAATTGTAAATGAAATGTCAAAATGACATATAAACAAAATACTAATAATAAAATAGTTAATAGACAATCATAAACTTTTTAGTCACGAAATTTAAATAATTCTAAATTTTTCGAATTTTCACCCCCAAGAACGGCGGTGACAACATTTTTAAAATTATGGCGATGTTTCGCATGGTACTAGCTATGTCCTGTACACATTTAGTTTTGCGCAACTCATTCGGTTTCGAAAATACAATACCTATGTACGTTTTCACTAATTACTCTTTTATTTATCATATTTTATCGTTATTCGTCAAAATAATATTAAAATGGGGATTTCAAAAAAGGCGAAAGTTCTTGTGACATATCTAGTTTTAAAAAAATACTATATTACAGTTTCTATTTGATGAGCGACGAATTGTTGCCACTCTGTACATCAAAAACAAATAAATTAATTATTAAACAATGCAAACCTAAATCTCAGCACCCCCTTTACCGTATTACATTACATTATGTAAGTTTGCAGGCAAATATCTCATTGTTGAGGAATACTCAAAGCCTTGGCTCCGGTATTGTCGACTTGGGAACACGTAGTGGTGAAATCTAGTACAATTTATAACACGAATTAAATATTTATGCATGAACTTCGAATTAAAAGTAAATTGTTTAGATGTGTTGCAGGGTCTGACGTGGTGAATCTGAAGAAATAAAATAAATAAAATCTATTTCTGCTGCTTACCATCGAGACGATACTTATTAAATATAGAATTATGTTAATTTAACCCCTATAGCCTACGTTTGGATATTCTTTCGTCACACCAGCAATTACGACAGAGTCGTACGTGACGTCGGCCCAAAAGGATCGATAGTTTAATAATTTATTTCACACTACCGGGTTCTGATTGATGGCACCAAGCCAGGCCATTGGCGCAGAGAGTCCATCCCGCGCTAAATCCATCGATAACAAATTGAATACCAATAAATAATTCAGGTTCTGCGTTGGAAATGATTATTTAGACTCCATTTTCGTACACATCTTTTTTGTTTTATTTTATTTACAATGTTATTGAGAATCGTAGCGTTTCCGATTGACCTACCCCTCCCGTGGCGCTTATGACGTGGTCATCGACCTCTCGGACCGTTTAGCAAATTTTTTAATGCCTCATAAATTACTAAGTACGTAACTCTGTTCGGTATCTGATCAACGCGGGCTCCTAGCAGCAGCCAGACAATAACCAAAGCGGTGTAATAATTGTTGGTTAAAAAATAAAGTTGTATCGGGGTTAACAACTTAAGAAATAGATCCTTCGGCGTCATCGTTACATTTTCTTAAATGAGACGTCTGTATAAGTGGAAGAGGTTTTATCGAAGGCTAGCTCGAGCCATTTGCATTCTAAATACACACTGTATATATACTATGGACAAGGGTGGCAGGAATATTTTGTAAGTGTCACCCATATACAATTTTCTAAAGTGAAACTTATTGCTGAAGACAAATAGAGAGAAACCATGAATTTCCCGTGAAAAATTGTTCTAATTTTTCAAATCTGTCTGATCTTTATCGTATCTTACAAAAGAAAGGCCTAATGTCACTGGTATCCTTTAAAAAATTCCGCTAATGAGTTGGAGACTCAAAATTAACAGCGGTAAATAATGACTGTCATTCGTATCCCCTTTTAAAAGTAATTTGGAGATGTCTGTGTTAATTGATACAAATTACAAAGGGTAGATACTGCTCAAGGGACAACTAGTACCCAATCTGTAACCCCTATACATTTGTTGTACGAATACGATTTTTACCTAATTCCAGTTTCGTTGCAATCAAATAAAGTGCCAATTGTTTTGTAGAGAAGAGAGATATAAAAATGTATGCCTCTTTATTAATCATACACCAGTTGTTGGGTTCTTTTCTACCATTTCCAAAATTTCTTCTTCCACAATGAGTGTTTGAGCTTGACAAATACGTTCGGGATACCTCTGTTAATTTTAAATAACGAGATTGGTTACGTATCATCATTTACAGAAAGCCGGACACATTATATACATCATTGGTGCATTAATACGCTCTCTAGAGATTGATTCTATAGTTGTGTCCCGCCTGATTGCTCTATTTATTAGAGTCTTCTATTATTCAAGGTAATTTTCTTTACCAAAAATTGATAACCGCGTTGTTTGTAACGTTTGTTTATTGATCCTTTCTCCCTGTACCTAAAAGTTTTAGGTACAGGGGTCATTAAGGTCAATTTACGGGAAATACGGCTATATGTTAACTCACCGCTAATGGAAAAAGATGAAAATTGGAAATGCAGAGTACTTCCGCGTAACCGTAATTAATATGTTTACTCGTTTTGCTCTATTTTGGGCGTTTTCCGGTACACCGAGCAGGTACCACAATGAATATTTTAAGTAATGATGCTTTTATTAGCTTTATGTTCCACGTACGTGTGCATTACGAACTTTCCGGGTTGAGAAATTCTGCAGCGGTCGATAAAAGCGGCAATTAGAAGCGTATAGGGTGTCCCAAACTGAAGGCGTTGAAAAGAAATATGATGTCGACTAAAAAAATGGTTTTTATGGTAATAGATATACTACATATACAGTCTTACCCAGTTTCTATGAACTAACATAAATGTTGTCTTGCTTCACCATAACGCAAATGCTTCACCATAACACAAATGTTGTCTTGCTTCATCATAAATTAAAACGACATCCATCAACTCTGAGTTGCTATACACGTGAGCCATTTTTGATACTCGAAAAACTAATGTAAACACTATCGATAATACTAAAATCGGATTTCAGTATTCGGAATCACTGGGGCCACAGACTACAGTAGCCCAGTGATGTAAAGTATGAAAATAACACAACTTCAATAATTGTTTTCTCGGAAACTATAAGGATTTTACAAAAAATTTGTTTACGATATTGATTTGTATAAGTTGTGATTCACCCTGTATATGTACAGGCGTATTCACATAATAATTTATCTAAAAAAATACTAAATTTCAGCAGATTTTGTTGCAACCTTAAATAAGTATATCATTGCAATCAGAAAAATAAAAAAAATTTCTCTTAATAACTCCACAAGATCGTATTGTAGAAAAAATGTTTTAAGCTAATTTTGCAGGATTTCGAATAACAATTTAGACGGCGATCTCGTTGTATTTGACCTTCAGCACACGCTGCAAGGTCAAACTTAGGTCAACTTAGTAGCAAATGGAATTCGCTATATTTTATGCTATTTCAGTGCCAAATTTTATGTTGGAATCTGAAATTTTTCTAAGATGCCCTTGAAAATTATTTGGAGGTCAAACTAATTTTTGACAAAAAATAGTGGATATGAAAGTAATAGAATTTTATAGACGTATTCGGCTGAAACTATTAGTATGACCTTGACGACAATTTAAATTAAAATAATTAAAATTTGATGGAGATTGTGAGGTAATTAGTTGTGAGGTCAATTTCAAGGTCACGATCTAATTTGTCATTAAAAATCCTACAAACTTTACTCTAAACATGCATGTCGAGTTATTCAGAGAAAAATTAGTTTAACCTTAACTTTCCAACCTCATATTCGGACGTATTAATTGACGTCCTATGTTAATTTAATATTTTCAAGTTGACTTTGATTCGACCTTGAAGCTTAAGGTCAAGGTCAAATATAAGGTCACCCGTACATTAATTTCTTGATCCTATAACATTTATCTGAAACATTTTTTGGTGGTTCTCAATCCTGAAGAGTTATAGGGGGAGATTTTTGGGACACCCTGTATATTTCTTATAGATCGCAAGAAAATTTTCTAAGATTTGTTCAGTATTTTTTTTCTACATAAAAGAGCAAAAATGATAAGGGGGGTATAATATCAGTGTCTTGATTTGACAATAAAAATGTGAAACGTCCAAAAAAAAATAAAAATAACTGCTACTTAATCAAAATCGTAGGTGTATGTTAATTAAACATTATACACGTACCTAAATATAAATCCAAAGATATTTTTGACCTATCGATTGTTTTGTTAATAGAAATCCAGTTCTATTTCCATTAAATTCAGTTACATTGTTCAGAAATAGTTTTTCCTACTAATGTCACTCGCTGCCTTCGTCTCCCTATAAATAATTAGGCCAAATATAGACGCGTTCGCCTATTTCAATGAACCTAGTTCGCCTACTAATGTCCTAAATGATTAATTAACCTATTTATTTCCATCAAAATGACTGGGTTGATGCAGGTGCTGACCAAATAGGAAATGTGCTGCTTTTTGCTGTTCCTTGTAGGGTCTACAGGTCGTGCGCTTGTTTGTATTTAATTTAGAAGATAGTAGTAAGAAATCAGTGCAAAAACTAGCTATGCCGAAATTGCCGATGTTCTCTACGTTTTATAATATAATTTAAAGATAACTAAAATTATTAATTTGAATTTTCCCGCAATATAAATAATACCTTTTCTTGGGGAATTATACGAAAATACTTTTTATATGTGAATCATAATCGTGTCAGCTTTTTGCATAAAGATCACAGTAATAATGTAATTTTTTATAAGGCACTCTTTTCCGTGTAGTAACATCTTTTGTGAAATTGCAGTAAACTCCTGCCCAGACCTCTAACAGCCTGCCCTTTTTCTGCCCCACTTCAAAGGGTATTCATTAGAGGTTAATGGAAGAAACCCCATAAACTCGAGTCTGGTATATTGGCTTATTTATGTAGTTTGTTGTGTGCAGTGATAAAACTTGATCTCAATAAAACAACGGGTCAAGGATGGGTTCGGAAACGGTAATTGATTATACCACGTGGACCTGCAGTGATTTGACGCCGTTTCGATTACTTTTAGTCGCGTATGTTTTTGTGCGGATTCGTGTGTCACGACACCTTATTTAAATTCCTTTTAAGAATGTATCACATCGCTAACCTACATAGACAAATAGATTTGCTAACATCTCAACCGCAATCTAGTAAATCTTGTTTGTTTGTCACTTTTACCTATTACCGTTTAAATGTTTATTTGCTTAAAGAATTAGAGCTATTATTTCCTTGAATATATAAAAAGTGAATGAGTTTGTCTGCGCATATTTATACAAATTATCGACACCTATTTGGTGGGTAATTATGACACAAAATGACCTAATTTCTTCAACTAGTTTAATTACAAAGAATAAGTGCCCATTTCAGTTGTTTACTAGACGTTGTTCATAGCGGTCGACAATACGTAAATGCACATATACATACACCAGGAAAATTAGCGAAAATAAAAGAGAAACTCCAAAAAAGTCCTATCCGCGAGATTATTGTAAAATTGTCTAAAGGAACATAATACAAGACATCTCTCATCTCGTGAATCAAAAACTTTTATTAGCTAACTTTTCTATTTAAACAAATAAGTGAGGAAAACAGTTTTTTCACTTTGCAGGGAAAACCATCAATTTTAGCGAAAAGTGACTCACAGACAGCTTATAGGGAGTAAAATTATCTACAAAATGAGACTGGTTAAATTAAAATCGGTTAATAAACAAAAAAGTTATTGCAAAAAACAAGAAAAGTGCCCATTTCTTAATTTGTTCATAACTATCGCATTTATTGTTAAAATTTTATAAAACCTATGACAAGTTGAGGGTTTTGTCATACTTTAAAAGTGTGCCAAAAGTGGGCGCTGTAGGTGCAATAGTTTTCGCACAATTCAATTTGTTTATAACGGGGCTCCAAAAGTTATGAACTTTAAGCCTCTGTACAGGCGTTAATTTTCAACCAAACATGATTCTGAAGGCGTCATTGTAATCTTAAAGACGTAATTAAGCAACGTATTAAAAAATATCACCGTTTTTTTTGACATTAATATTCTCAAATTGTGCATTAAAAAACCGTGTGTTTTTCGCTTATAGACAATTTGAATAAAATTGTTACTATTTATGCTACCTCACCGAAAATAGATACAAAAAAATACAAATTTTAAAAAAGCACCCCCTACGAGTAACAGGAGCCAAGATAAGAATTTTTTTTAAATCGTAGCGTAATTATCTATAAATATTAAGACTTGAATTTTTCGCAGAATAATCAAAATTAATTAGAAAAATATTAATCACAACCATTTTCAATAATAGATATAATGCAATATAATACAACAATTTAAAATTTAAAATTTATTCTATTTTTATGAGAAATAATAATTTGAAAATAATTTGTGAATTTTTACTTTAATTTTACATTTAAATCGTAATTAAATAGCTAACAAAATATTGAAAAAATTAGTTTACTTTGGCTTAATATGTAAAAAAATAACTTTTTAAATGAACGATAGCTTCATTTATTTATTTAATAATAGTAAAATAATTCCGAAATTGAAATTTTAATTAATATTCCGTTTAACAATCATTTTTGTCATTTTTATAAATTAAAAAAGATTAAGTATAAAAGATGCATTTTTTCTGGGATTCAGGGCTATTCTACGAATTCGTAAATATGCCCATTGTTATTTTTTCGTCGAGCTAGCCCAGTTTAAAAACAGAAGTTTCTATGATGAATAGAAGCCGAGATATTGCAAAATTTTACAGCGCTCATCAACTTGAACTTCATTTTTCTCGCGAGTGTGACTCGCTTGGACGAACTTCCCCCACCATCACGCCGGATATTTTACTTAGCAAGTACCTTCTCTTTAAAGTGCTTATGAGTCGTTAATTTTCCACATTTTTCAATGCAATTCACGGGAAATCGTAGTTTACGTTGTAAACTTTATTTTGCGAAAAATTCAAGTCGCAATGTTTATAAACAATTGCGCTACGATTTAAAAAAAATCTTATCTTGGCTCCTGTTGGTCGTACTTTTTGTTTTTAAATTTGTATTTTTTGCCAGCTATCCATTGCATCTATTTTCGGTGAGGTAGCATAAATAGCAACAATTTTATTCAAATTGTTTATAAGCGAAAAACGCACAATTTGAGAATGTTAATGTCAAAAAACGGTGATATTTTTTAATAGGTCGCTTAATTACGTATTTAAGATTACAATGACGCTTTCAGAATCATGTTTGGTTGAAAATTAACGCCTATACAGAGGCTTAAAGTTCATAACTTTTGGAGCCACCGTTATTAACAAATTGAATTGAGCGAAAACTATTGCACCTACAGCGCCCACTTTTGCTACACTTTTAAAGTATGACAAAACCCTCAACTTGTCATAGGTTTTATAAAATTTTAACAATAAATGCGATAGTTATAAACAAATTAAGAAATGGGCACTTTTCTTGTTTTTTTGCATTAACTTTTTTGTTTATTTACCGATTTTAATTTAACAAGCCTCATTTTGTAGATAATTTTACTCGCTACATGCTGCCTGAGAGTCACTTTTCGCTAAAATTGATGGTTTTCCCTGCAAAGTGAAAAAACTGTTTTCCTCACTTATTTGTTTAAATAGAAAAGTTAGCTAATAAAATTTGTCTTGTATTATGTTCCTTTAGACAATTTTACAATAATCTCGCGGATAGGACTTGTTTCGAGTAAAAATTTTATTTGCTTGGCCTAATAGTGATATGTTTTAAATACAGTAAATATTTTTCTGAAACATTGTCTAAACTGTAAACCTTGTCGGGAAAGTATTTTCACTTCTGCATAAATGTCCATAATGACAATATGTAGACTGGGTGATGGGTAAGGCTTACAAAAAACAGGGATTAAATTTTTTGTACGCTTATGATGCGCACTGACATGCCTCAACTAGAAACTGATATACAAATACTATTTACCTAGTATTAATATTATTAGTGACTTATTTTCTGTTAGTGAGTTAGTATAGTAAATTCCCCAACAAGTCAACTTTAGTTTTATTAAAAAAAATCCCCAGTCCCAACCAATTCCTTCCAGTCCGTCACTTCCTAATGTTACAAAATATCGCAGGAACGCACCCTTGCACATCCCCTCGGTTTCCCGGAGTTCTCCGCACTTTCTCATATCGCCGTCCCATACATAAATATTTGAAGTTCTGCTTTCCGAGGCGTCGCCAATAATACCAGGAATTTTGTTGCAGAGGCGCGAAAGGATGAAGCAGGGCGAGCTGCGACGCGCCTTGATGGTCGTTACTCTGCTGTGCGTTTTCCTATTCATCTACCTGTACTGGCAACAGACCACCAAGCTCGCCCCGACCCTAGTCTACAACTACAAGCACGTGTATAGTTCCTACAAGTAAGTATACACTTCAGGCCGCGACATCCGGCACGAAGGACCAAACTTGTAAATTGGTCCTTCGAACCGGATTGTTTTTTATTAAATTAATGATATATTAGGCGAAGCAGTTAAACATCTGAAGGGGCTTTCCAAATCGTATAATTGGATCTAAGTCGGCGACGAGCGAGTGTAGAATTATCCAATTATTAAAATTGGCTTCTTGGTTAAGAGGATTATATAGAAAGTGGATTATGCGATGATCATCGCGAAACAAGATGGAAATTACTTTGTTTGGCGTTGTCATTAGCTGATTAGTTGGGGTAGGTTAAATTGCGGTCTATTTCGAGCTTCTTTACTTCAACAAGTTTAAAAATACTCTGTGTAGGATCGTTTTTGTAATTGAAATGTACGGTCTACAATGTTTGAACTTGTAAAAGTTAGATTGCGAAAAAGTTGCGAATGAAAAAGACGAATTTGATATAAATGTACAGTGTTACCGTAGCATTTACGCGTTACGTAAATCAGCTATGCATTTGGATTTGACTTGCAGTGTGAAACTAAATGGTTGATGTCTTATTCTAAATCATTTACTTGACACATGACTTGGCAATTTTATTTGATTATCGTATTACATTCTCTAGAATAATATAAGTGGGAGTTATATGATTTATTTAGAGATACAGGACGTTCATTTTTTCTGAACTACTTTTTTACTTCTTCAACTTTGGAATCTCATACGTTTAAATTCGATTTTATTATTACAAAATAAACTTTTTTAAATATATGTTTGTCATACATCGCAGATACGTACTATATTTGATTAACTGAAGGACCAAATCCACAATCCTAGATTAAATCCCCAATAGACCTAGCAGTTGCATGTACGTTATATTAAATTGAATTAATTAATCTTAGATACAGATTTAGTTAACACGGCTATTATTGTATGTATATCCATGCTGTCCGATCCATGCCTTTGCAGAATTGATGGACCCTAGTGGATTATTAGCTACGCAACCGATATTCGTAGTCCCTATTAACACGGTCGTTAGGAAGTTCGGAATAGTTAGTCTAAAAACAACGGAGGCTATATCTGAATACGTTTACGGTAAAAAAAGCATACATGAAATTTGTGTTTTGTCCAAAATGGTTATATGCTCGACATATGGTTTAAATGCAGGATTATACAGGGGGTTTGAAGATAGTCACTGTTTCTCTCCATTTTTTTGAAAAAAAAAATAAATATGTCGAAAACGGTTAATTTTAGGAATAAGGAAACTTCATAAAAGTCCACCTAAAATAACACGTATAATCCAAAATTGCAATAATATATAGAGTGTTCCTTTTAAAATAAGCAAGTTGATGTCGACTTCCGGTATAACCGGAAGTGGTACGTGGACGCCATTATTTTAGTTGAGACGAGCATGCCCGAAAACCCGGTATTTCAAATTTCAAAATTCAAATCGAAGTAGTCTCTGAAATAATTCTAATGGGCCATCACCGTGAGACACCCTGTATGTATGGCGAATCGCAAAATATTAATCCATCAAAATATAAACGTATTACTCAAACCTTATATTACACTTTATTTTCTCTATGACTTAGACTAAGTCAAATTTACATCAATTCCACCATTATTTTTTACAAATCCGCACGGTTTTCTTGCCAAGAAAGGAAAAACCCCTCTATCGTTCATATCCCGAAGTTTTCTTCGGTTTGTTTTGATTCCAACCACGGTACCATGGGGAACTATTGAGAGTGGACTATAGGAAAATACGTATAGTCTACACTATAAGGTCTATGGCAAACTTTGTCTCAGAGCTTGTAGAACACCCTGTATAGTTCAAAAAGGTATATCAAATTTGGTTATGGTAAATCTGCATAACTAGTTGAAAATATATTTAAAAGAGATGATTGCCAACATGCCACCTTCATATGAATTGAAAACTGCCGTTTTTCTTTGATTATCGATTACAAATTAAAGCAAAGCGCCCACAGCCCGAATTAAAATAGCGGACACGCCAAACAAAACTAATGGTCGTCAGCGTCGCAGCGTCCCGTACCCAATTTATCTCCGTCGCCCCAATACCCAGGCCGCGATAAAGCGACTCGCACACGAATTAACTCGCCCTCTGTTTGTTACAGGAAGTCCCATCCGCCTCAATGGACCTGGGAATGCATAAATCAGCGCTGCGAGAGGCGAAGCATCAAAGGTGGCGTCGCTGCTGTGTCACTGGCCACATGCAGCATGCTCTGCGGTTCCACGCAACTCTGGCCCCAGCCCACCGGGCCCGTCACCCTCGGAAGCAGAGCAGTGACCTTCAATCACAAGCAATTCGAGCTGGAAACCGTCGCTAACGCGCCAGCTAGGACCTTGCTGGAAAAAGCGTACACCAGCTTCAACGAGAACGTTGTTAGTATGGTGGAGAAGAAAGATTATATCAAGGAAAAGACAGACATCTCTAAGTTCTTGATAAGGGTGACGATACTGCGATCTGAAGTGGTTAGATTGAAGCTGAACACCGACGAAAGCTACACCATAGTCTTGAAGTACCTGGGGAACGAAGTCGTGGCTAATATCACAGCGCAGACTTTCTTCGGTGCTCGGCACGGGTTGGAAACCCTCTCCCAACTCATCTGGTGGGACGACTACACCAAGGGAGGCATGTTGAAGGTGTTGAAAGGTGCCACGGTCCAAGACACTCCTATATTTGCGTACAGGGGCCTCATGGTGGACACCTCGAGGAACTTCATGTCCATCGAAAGCCTGAAAAGGGTACTGGTGGGGATGTCAGCTAGTAAACTCAACGTTTTCCACTGGCACATAACAGACTCCCAAAGCTTTCCCTTGGTGGTCCCCAGCGTACCACAGCTGGCCAAGAACGGAGCCTATGGGCCGGGTATGACGTACGCCCCTGAAGAAGTGAAAGCCTTGGTGGAATTTGCCAGGGTGCGCGGTATAAGAGTTGTGTTAGAGGTGGACACGCCGGCCCACGCTGGGAACGGATGGACTTGGGGTCCACAAGAAGGTAAAAAATGCATCACCCGATGAAATTCCTTGACCTTCTGCTCTTGTTCTAGGTTTGGGAGAGCTCGCCGTCTGCGTGAACGAGCGCCCGTGGAGCATGTACTGCGGGGAACCCCCTTGCGGCCAGCTCAACCCTGAGAACCCCAACGTCTACGACGTGCTGGAGAAGCTGTACAGAGACCTGTTAGATTTAAGTAGCGAATACGAAATTTTCCATATCGGTGGAGACGAAGTGAACCTGGAGTGTTGGGCGCAGCACCTGCAGAAATCCAACACCCTGTACAACTACACGGACTTGCACGATCTGTGGGGCGAGTTCACCGTGAAGGCCTTGAATAGGCTGTACGCCGCTAATGGGAACAAAAAAGTGCCCTACGTTATAGTGTGGTCGAGTAAGTTGAGTAAGAGGCCTTATCTGACCAAGTATTTGGACAAGAGCAACGTGGTGGTGCAAAGTTGGGGGGCCAGCCAGTGGCCCGACACGCCGGATCTTATTGCCGATGGGTACAAGGTGGTTGTATCGCACGTAGATGCCTGGTACTTGGACTGCGGGTTTGGAAGGTAAGTCACAACAATCAGAATCGACAAAACCTTAGTATAATCTATGTGACACAACTAGAAGGTAACTTTACCGGATCAAACGCTTCAATTCATCAATAATTTGTTGTTGTTTTTTTCATATATAGAAATTTAAGTCATTTATAAATAAGCTGAAAAGTAGGGGGCCAAGGATAGAACCTTGGCCCCCTACATACACACGATAACCAAAATTCAAATTTGCTTGTTGGCATTTGAACTTGTATTGTCCACCCTTGTGTCCGCCATTTTGAGTCCCTCAACGCCGTCTACCGACGATTCTCCGCACTCACACCATTCTTCTTCTTCTTCCCTAGGTGGCGCGAGACGGGCGACGCCGCCTGCGACCCCTACCGGCCGTGGCAGACCGTCTACAACCACCGGCCCTGGCAGCAGCTCCACCTCAACACCAAGCAGATCCTGGGGGGCGAAGTGGCCCTCTGGAGCGAGCAGCTGGACGAGGGCTCACTGGACGCCCGGCTATGGCCCAGGGCCGCGGCCTTCGCCGAGCGGGTGTGGAGCGACCCCCAGCTCGACATGTCCACCTACGCCATCCAGGAGGACGTGTACACGCGGCTCAGCACCCACAGGGACAGACTGGTGGGCAGGGGGCTCAGCGCCGAGGCCCTGTGGCCCTCCTGGTGCACCCAGAACCCCGGCATGTGCCTTTGACGAACGCCGCCATCGGCGGCAGGTGTATATAGTCCAATTCTACTCCTTCTCCTCACCGTGCACAGTGATATTAGTCTAGTATTTAAACGGATGACTCTTAGCTTTAAGGGGAGGGCGAAGGGGTCTCTTGGAGGCGTGGGGGAGAGAGTTACAAGAGCGGTTTCGAATGTTGTGATCTGAGATTGAAATTTTTATCGTTAAGTAAGGGTTTGTTTTTGGGTTTCAAAAAGGAATAAACGTATTCAGGGGCGCACCCCGAAAAAAGGCTTGAAAGACCAAATTCAGTTGGAGAGAATAGTGTGGGTCTGTTTCTAAAAAAAAATATCACATTTGTTTCAATTTCTCTTAAAATTTTCACGTAGATTGATGAAGTTTGGGCCAACTATTTAACTAATTACAAAAAATATTACAAATCTCTAAGTGACTGTCAACTGGAGAAGTTATCACAATGGGCTCATGTAGAATTTTTTTTTCTCCCCAAAATAGTTACTTAATGAAAACTCACGAAAGGCACGTTGTGACGTCATATCACACCCACATACTTGGATAGGCCTCACATACATCACCAGATAACTCTAGCTAAGGGAACAGACAAAAACAAACAAATTTAAACTATTTTAAGAAAGAAACACCGTTACAAATTTTGATAAGATTGATTTTTGGGAAAGTTATCTGTAATAATTTTAGACCCTGGTTATAACTTGCGCATATAAGTCAAAGTAAGATTTCGCAGTAAATAATGGTATGCCATATGCTGAAAAATATTATGTATTTTTTTATGATCTATTTATGATATACAGGGTGTTTCAGAAAAAACTCCCGTAAATTCAGGGGGTACGACAAAAAATAAGAATATTTTGTCTTTGAACTATATGTCTATCTCCTCTTATTTTCGAGATCCAGAGCGCCAAAATAAAATTTTTTAAATAGAATATTTACGAAAATTTCCAAACGGTGCGAAATATCTTTTATGAAATTTGGTATTCCGGGGTTTTTAAGGACGCCAAATACGCTGGTCTAATTATTTTTTGTATATTTTATAGAGGGCGCTTGTTATGCTACATTCGTATTACATTTTAAGTTCTAATTTTTTTGAGGTTAAGTTTTTTCGGGCTCCAAATTTCTAATGTACAATTTTATTTTCTAAAAATAATGTACTCTTATTAGAACTTCCTAATGTGGACGGTTTTCGAGAAAAAAGGTTTTTAATTGAACTCTTACAATATTACGGTGTATAAAATAATTGACTTTTCTCAAAGTAGGCTTATGTCAAAACTTATTCAACTCATACTTATATACTATATACTATACTTGTACGGAGGATTGGCGCCCTCTGTGCAGGTATGGTAGGGTGGAAGAATGTTGGCTTGGGTCAATGTGAGAGATTGACACCGGTTGGCATTTGACCACCCCCCTAATTAATGAGGTTTTCCAGGTTTCCCTCATTCCTGCACTGAATGGTGGTTAGGGCCTACCAACATAAGTCGTTCCTGGGCGCAAATGCGGCCTGCGTAATAATAATATGCCGCCTCCTCTCCCGCACAAGTCTCCGACTTCTGGGCTAATTCTCGTAATTAGAATGAGGAGTAGAGATATTATTATTATAAACAACGCATATATTCTTAGTAATATTTTAAACTCTAATTAATTTTATATCAAAATTTTAGTGATGGTAATCAGTCATTACTAACTAGTCACTAACAATCACTAAAATTTTGATATAAGGTTAATTTGAGTTAAAATATTACTAAGAATGTATGGGTTATTTATGAGACATCCATCAATAAGTTTTGACATAAGCCTACTTATTCGCTTATTTTATACACCGTTATATTGTAAGAGTTCAATTAAAAGCCTTTTTTCTCGAAAACCGTCCACATTAGGAAATTCTAACAAGAGTACATTATTTTTGGAAAATAAAATTGTACATTAGAAATTGGAGCCCGAATGGTAAAAAGAGTACATTTTTAAACCTATATCTGCGGATATATAATTTTTCAAAAAACTAGACCTCAGTTTTCAATTAAAGTGACAGTGATGCTATTTTTTTACTTGTTTGTTTTTTCAATGTGCAATTTGTTTAGCCAAAAATAATTTCTTCAGTTTTTTTTCAAGGGTGCAGAAATACCAATATACATGGAAATAACTAAAACTGTACCCTAAATACATAACTTCAGTCGATAGCTAAAGCACATTGAACACAAATCAAACCAGTCGAGTGGTATGACGTCACTCTGCGAACATTTTACCTAAAACACCCTCAAAGAAACAAATCAATGTGATATTGTTTTTAATTTGAACAACCTGTATTGTTAAACTAGAGTTAGGGTATTGATTAAAAAAAAACAACTTCTCTAAGTTAGACATAAATATAAAAAAATATCCTGTATACCTTGGAGAAAATTTACAAAAGCGTCTTTATTTAAAAAAAAAACGAATTTTTGGTATAAAATATATTTTAATATGTTCGGCAACACCCCTAGGCCATCCTGGGTGCGCCACTGCGTACATTTATCAATAACTTATACAGAGTGGCGGCAAAAAGGACACCTTGCTAATTTCACTTGATGACCCGAGAGTTAGTGACAATTTAGTTTTGAAATATCTGGATGATAAGACTTTTATAGGTTGTACTCTCGATTATTGTTATAATATAAAAAAAATAATTTAATGAATTGTTATTAGATATATTCCTATGTTTGAGAGAGTATTCATATTTTATACATTTCCAGACAGTTAATAGTAGTAACGAAGCCTTCATATGTACAGGATGTAAGACAACAACGTGTCAAATCAATTTAAGAATATATTTTTTTACAAACATTTGTCTTTAACGCTTTCAATTTAAAAAAATTGGTGCCTGGGGATTCGTCTGAACAGGATGTATGAAAATGTATATCGAAAATTTACACCAAAACGGTAAAAACTATGCAAATTTAAGGGTTAATTTTTGTTTAAAATAAAATTTGCATTTCAATTCACAAAAATTTTTCTTTGGGTTTTTGACACTTATTGTGTTACATCTTGTATATCCCAGTGAGAACATGATGGTTTAAAAACTGCTGAAGTTGCTGACAAACTGTCAAAATTGTAGTTAAAAATAACCTTGACTTATTTTAACTTTCGTGATTTCACTGGATTGAAAAATATTCCCAATTCCACAGATACGTTAATTTTATAATTTTCTACCAGAATAACATTCTACAATAGAATACATACTGATACTTCCTTTTGTACTGAATTTATTGTATGAGTGACGTGCGCCAAGTTGTACATAACAATTATTTAATTTAATGTGATTTCTTGTGCGAACTTTTGGCTATTTAAATATAACATTGAAATAAATGAAATCACTGCTTTTTATTTTATAACCCCACTCCACATAAAGTCAACCTCTGTACCTTTCTGCTTTCTCAAAGGTAAGTATATCATTGTAATTTGCGCACATTCTCAGCTACACACTCTTCGTACTTGTAAGGAATTTTCACAATATTCACTCGCTTAATCTTCGCATAGCGTTGCATTTTGTCTAACCTACAACGTGTGATCCTACACAGTGCTGCCAACTATTCGAAATGAAAATGGCGCACAATTTAAATCACCTTACATTGTTTCATTAAAATCAGGACCACAGACTGTGTTATTTTTGTGACCTGGGAGAAATATTGAAACGTTAAAAATGCGTTTTAAACTCTATGTCTCGTACGTATATAGATAATTCCGCCTTCTTTAACTCGCTTTAATGATAAGAATTCAAGTTTGGAAGTTTTCTCCGATATAGGTATGCTAGCAAGCCAGGAGACCGATTCTGTAACTTTTGAGGACGTCAGACACGAAATATAGGATGTGATTTATTTTCCTGCAGCTATAGGATTTCTTCCACTTGATTTCACTTGTAGGTTAAAGATAGACTACGGAAACACAATGCACTGATTGCGTTTATGCAGTTATAAAAATAAATAGAGAAAAGTATAACGTATAAACTTTAATTTTACCGACATTAGATTATTCTTTAACAAAAATAGAACAGTTTGTTTCTTTTTTATGTAGAAACGAAGCGAAACAATTATATTTGTCACTAATCATTATTTAAAGATACAAGGAATGTATGTTCTGCTCTTTAACGTGGTGCAGACGTTCGTTGGGGTTCAAACAGGCCTTTAGACCGACTTTTATTGAAAATGAATGTCGCCAGCGTGATTTAATTAGATTATTCGAACGGACACAACTTCAATTTTTATTTCGTTTATTTCGCAAAGTGCTCCCCGACATTTCGCGGAGTAATAGGATTTTGTTTTAAAGCCGTGGTTTTCGAGTCGATGAAAAACCCATCCGGCGATAAGCAGGCGATCTAACGACTAGAAATTAGTTTCGCCGTCCCTCGCTCTTGCTTGAACCTACGACATTTGCGCGGTTGAAGGAAATGTCACTGTTATGGCATTTACGCAGTGTGATTGTTTTGTTCACGGAAGTAAAAGTACGTTCCATTGTTATATTTGTTATAGATGAACGTTCGACGCAATATCAGAAGTGGGATACAAGGCAGTAGTACAGTCAACAGTTCTCAATAAGTTTTATTCACATTTGTTTTTAATTTGACATTTTCTACGCATTAAACTGCTTCGCTACTTAAAATATATACAGGCTGTCTACTATAAGAGGGCCACTCCTATGGATCTCGCTTAATATACCACGTACCTACGTCAAAAATGTTTAAATGTTTTTTGTTGCAATTTTTAAGGCCTTTATGCTCGTAAAAACAAATTTGAGATCCATGGCCAACTTTGTAAGTAATCATAAAAAAACCTGAAAAGTACCTAAAGTTTAGGGTCGTCTAACTTTTTTATTTTAAGAGATAGGTTGAGAAAACTTATTTTAATAAAATTTCATGGCAAAATTGATATCTTTAAAGTATCGTATGTAATTTATTGCGCCTTCTACGCAAAAATTGTAATCGAAGTAGGCCATGGCTACAAAAAATTGCTTGTTTTTCCTCTTTCATGCTATATACTACATGTTGCCTCTATCTTTTATATTTATTACATTTTTACAATTTTGGTATAAAAAATGTAAACATTTTCGTGATAACGTAGAAATTGTTATAGACGCGTCAACTACAAAAAATTTTATAAATATAATGTACTTCTTTTAAGCAAAATACAGATTTCCTTTTCACATTTTTATAATATTGGTTTTTTACTGTAGAGAAAACTGAACCTTCAACACAGTTCTTGCCCAGACAAAGTAACTTACGTTAAATGTAGCACGCTATGAAAACAAATGTGTTTTCCCAGCAATGTCATCATTTAACAAATTATTTATTGTGATAGTTTATACATAACTGCGGTTTGAAAATTTTTATAGTTCACTGCGAGTTGGAAAACTATAATTTTGAATAATAATGATATTTTAACATATTGAGAAGTGTTTGTATTGTAGCAATTTCAATTCTGTTCAAGCACTTGCGGAATATAGAAAACCTTCGCTGATATGGATCTTTTAAGAAGTACAGGGCAATAAAATCAACGGTTGTTAATAAAATAGGTAATTAGGTCTGTTCCAACAGGAGTCAGCAATTGGTTTCGAACCGTTCGAAATGTGCATCCAACTAATTCTTGCGATATATTCACTGAAGAAACATTTAGAACTTAGCTGGCCTGGCCAAACATTTCAAACGGTTTTGAACCAATCCCTGACTCTTGTTGGAACAGACCTAGTGTTTACATTTTAAATTATGTAGAAGCAAAACAGTGAGAGACCGAAATAAACTACAATGTAAAGAAGGATATTACGAAAAAATGGTTTCAAATGTTATAAGGTGAACAAAG